GCCGCTTCCAGCTTTTCTGTGATTATCTAGAGATCATCTCACAGGCTTTCCTGCCTCGGCTGGCCGTGAACCGCAATCCTAGGGTCTCAGCCTCCTGAGTAGCTGGGGTCACAGGCCTGAGCCACAGTTTTTTTTTTTAATGCCATGTTGTTTGTTAAAGTGACAAGCTGTTTTTTTTTGCCAGTCCTGGGGCTTGAACTCAGGGCCTGGGCACTGTCTCTGAGCTTGTTTTGCTCAAGGCTAGCGCTCTACCACTTGAGCCACAGCACCACTTCTGGCGCAGTGTATATAAGTAGTGAGGAATTGAACCCACGGCTTCATGTATGCTAGGCAAGCACTCAACCACTGAGCCACCTTCCCAGCCCCGTCTACCTTTATTCCTGTCCTGGGACGGGTCTAGCCGGGTCTAGCCGTGCAGTCCTAACTGGCCTCAAACAAACTTAAGACCCTGCTTGTTTCAGCTTCTCTAGGACTGGGATTCCAGACATGTGCTACCATGCCTTGCTCAGAGCATCATGTTTACTCCACCGTACTCCTCTATACCCCCAAATGAACTCATTACACCTACAATGGGCCCATTTCCAAATCCTAAGGACACTCGCAGGGACGCTGGATGTGAGGGCCTAGTGTATCTTCAGGGGGGACTCAGCTATGCTACAGTTCACCCATAATTCCTAGGAACTGAAGGACACTTCCAGTATTGGATTAAGATGGAGGGGTCACAGGGCGGAGGGTGTGAGTGGGTGTGATGATTTGGAGATGCATGTTAGATCCTAACTAGACAGCTAGCTGTGGTGGAGCCTGCCTGTAATCCCAGCATTTGGGAGGCTGAGGCAGGAAGATCAGAAGTTTGAGGATAACTGAGTTACCTCATAAGAACTTGTCTCAGAACAACAACAAACCCAGTGGACAGTCAAGGAAGTCACTGGAGTCCTTTGAGAACTGCAGCCTGGACATTGAGCTTGGGGAGACAAGTCTCTTGGGAGGGGGGGATGTAGGTCCCTGAGTTGAGGGGGCAGGAAGCAGCCAGGAGACGAAGTGGGAGGGGATTGGGAGACTGAAGAAGCTGTGTGCAGAGGCCTCCTGAGTCCCAAGCTCAGCCACAAGGGGATGGTCAGGTAGACCGAGCAATGTGGGAGAGCCTGGGGACTAAAGAAGAGTCTGCTACTGACTTGAGCCTCGTGCAGTGGTAGGTAGGGAGGTCCAGGGGTGGGGTGGGGAGGGGTGTGATTGTAGGGGAGGTGGGGGATAGGGTGGGGGGCAGGGGGGTAGTGGCTGGGGAGGTGGGGTAGGGTAGAGGGTAGGAGTGTGGTGGTAGGGGAGGTGGGGGGAGGTGGGGATGTGGTGGTAGGGGAGGTGGGGGAGGTAGGGGGTAAGGGTGTGGTGATGGGGGGGTGGGGGAGGTAGGGGTGTGGTGGGGGGGTGGGGGAGGTAGGGTGTGGTGGTAGGGGGGGGTGGGGAATAGGGTAGGGGGTAGGGGGGTGGTGGTAGGGGGGTGGGGGATAGGGTAGGGTAGGGGTGTGGTGGTAGGGGGGTGGGGGTAGGGTAGGGGTAGGGGTGTGGTGGGTAGGGTAGGGGGGGTAGGGTGGGGGTAGGTGTGTGGTGGTAGGGTAGGGGGGGTAGACTCGGGGTAGGGGTGTGGTGGTAGGGGAGGTGGGGGTAGGGAGGTGGGGGTAGGGTGGGGGTAGGGGTGTGGTGGTAGGGGAGGTGGGGGTAGGGTAGGGGTAGGGGTGTGGTGGTAGGGGAGGTGGGGGTAGGGTGGGGGTAGGGGTGTGGTGGTAGGGGAGGTGGGGGGTAGGAATGTGGTGGTAGGGGAGGTGGGGGGTAGGGGGTGTGGGGGTAGGGTGGGGGTAAGGGTGTGGTGGTAGGGCGGTGGGGGTAGGGTGGAGGTAGGGGTGTGGGGGTAGGGAGGTGAGGGGTAGGGTGGGGGTAGGGGTATGGTGGTAGGGGAGGTGGGGGTAGTGGGTGTGGGGGTAGGGGAGGTGGGGGTAGGGTGGGGGTAGGGGTGTTGTGGTAGGGGAGGTGGGGGTAGGGTGGGGTAGGGGAGGTGAGGGGTAGGGTGGGGGTAGGGGAGGTGGGGGGTAGGGTGGGGGGTAGGGGTGTGGGGGTAGGGGAGGTGGGGGTAGGGTAGGGGTAGGGTGTGGTGGTAGGGGAGGTGGGGGATAGGGTGGGGGGTAGGGGGGTAGTGGCTGGGGAGGTGGGGTAGGGTGGGGGTAGGGGTGTGGGGGTAGGGGAGGTGGGGGTAGGGTAGGGGGTAGGGGAGGTGGGGGTAGGGAGGGGGGGTAGGGTGGGGGTAGGGGTGGGGGGTAGGGGAGGTGGGGGTAGGGTGGGGGTAGGGTGTGGGGGTAGGGGAGGTGGGGGTGGGTGGGGGTAGGGGTGTGGGGGTAGGGGAGGTGGGGTAGTGGGGTGGGGGTAGGGAGGTGGTGGTAGGGGTGGGGGTAGGGGGTGTGGGGTAGGGGAGGTGGGGGTAGGGTGGGGTAGGGGGTTGGTGGGGTAGGGGGGGGGGGTGGGGTAGGGTGGGGGTAGGGGGTGGGGGGTAGGGGGGTGGGGGGGTAGGGGTGGTGGGGGTAGGGTGGGGGTAGGGGGTGTGGGGGTAGGGGGGTGGGGTAGGGGTGGGGGGGTAGGGGTGGTGGGGGTAGGGGTGGGGGTGGGTAGGGGTGGGGTGGTAGGGGAGGTGGGGGTAGGGTGGGGGTAGGGGTGGGGTGGAGGGGAGGTGGGGGGTAGGGGTGGGGGGTAGGGTGTGGGGTAGGGTGGGGGTGGGGGTGGGGAGGTGGGGGGTGGGGGGGGTAGGGGTGGGAGGGGTGGGTAGGGGTAGGGGGTAGGGGTGGGGGTGGGTGGGTAGGGGGGGTGGGGGTAGGGGGGGGGTGGGGTGGGTGGGGGTAGGGGGGGGGTGGTGTGGGTAGGGGTGGTGGGGGTAGGGTGTGGTGGTAGGGGATGTGGGGGTAGGGGTGTGGTGGTAGGGGAGGGGGGGTAAGGGTATGGTGGTAGGGGTGTGGTGGGGGGGAGGGGTGTGCTTTGCACAGGGTTTTGTTTCTTTGTTTGTGAACTCAGGCTTATATGCACTATCCCTGAGCTTTTTTGCTCAAGGTAGGTGCTCTACCACTTGAGCCACAGTACCACTTCTGGCTTTTGGTGGATATTTAGAGATGAGTTCTATGGACTTTCCTGCCTGGACTGGCTTTGAACTCCGATCCTCAGATCTCAGTCTCCTGAGTAGCTAGGATGACAGGGGTGAGCCACGGGCCCTTGGCTGTTGAACAGTGTTGTAGGCACAGGAGGGAATGGTGGGAGCAGATGCTGGAGAGGGGAGAGTAGCCAAGACACTGTGCTGTGTGCCCATAGAGTAGTGGGGGCTGAGGGAGACAGGCCAGTGGCGGGGGTCTGAGGGTGTCAGATGGGAGGGAAGGGCGGGCTGCAGAGTGGAAGGGGGCCCCAGCAGCTGTGGGCAGGATGTGAAGGTGGGAGCCCACAGGACTTCTTCTTCTGGGAAATGGGAAGCCACCGAGCTACCAGAAGTGCATTAGGGCCTGGCCATTGAAGTTTGGAGAATGGAAAACATGGCACCTCATCCAGGAGATGGGGTGGGAGAGTAGACCCGGATGGTCTTGGCAATCTAGTCTCAAAGCAGCCCTGAGTAGCCCCTTCCCCCATCTGCACATGACTCCTCTGTTAACTCCATGCTGTCTTTAAGATTCCTGGTGGGGTCTGCTATTCCAGGCCTAGGCAAAGACCTGCCTGCCAGATCAGAGTATTTTTATTTCTTGGTACCACTACCAGGACTTGGAACTCAGGGTCTGTATGCTGTCCATTAGCTTTTTTTTTTTTTTTTAGTTGGTCATGGGGCTTGAACTCGGCCTGGGCGCTGTCCCTCAGCTCTTCACCTCAAGGCCAGAGCTCTGCCACTTGAGCCACAGCGCCACTTCTGGTTTTCTGATGTTTAATTGGACATAAGAGTTTCACAGACTTTCCTGCCCAGGCCGGCTTTGAACTGTGATCCTCAGATCTCAGCCTTCTGAGTAACTAGGATTACAAGCATGAGCCACCGGTGCCTGGCTCTATTAACTTTTTTTGCTCAAGGTTAGTACTCTACCACTTGAGCCTCAGCTCCACTTCTGGCTTTTTGGTGGTTAATATTAGAGACAAGTCTCATGGGCTTTCTTGTCCAGATCGGATTTGAACCAGGAATCCTCTGATCTCAGCCTCCTAAGTGGATGGGGTTCTAGGTGTGAACCCCGAGCACCTGGCCTCTGGGCATTTTGAGTGGGACAAACAGAGGAGCAGCCCTGGGCTTTAGTGTTTTGTTTGTTTCATTTTGATTTGACTTTTGCAGTATCTCTTTAAAAAATATCTTTTATTAGCATCAATAATACAAGGGGTTACATTCTTACTTGTCCATGCAAGCATACAGTACCTTGACTGCATTTACCTTCTGTTACTCTTTCCTCTCCAGCCAATCTAGGCGAGCTTCATTGTTTTACACCTGTACATAAATTTTTTTTTTTGGTTGGTCCTGGGGCCTGAACTCTGGGCCTGGGCGCTGTCCCTCAGCTCTTCAGCTCCAGGCTAGCGCTCTACCACTTGAGCTACAGCGCCACTTCTGGCTTTTCTGCTTATGTAGTGCTGAGGAATCGAACCCAGGGCCTCATGCATGCAAGGCGAGCGCTCTACCACTGAGCCACCTTCCCAGCCTGGTATGTTTTGTTTTTTGAGACAAGATCTCACTGTGTCACTCAGGCTCACTAGCCTGCCAGTGCTGCTCTTCCACCATCACCGGGCTTATGAGATCCGTGGTGGGGGCCCTTGCTGCCTGTGCTCCAGGAAGAGCCTCGCCCCCCCATCACCCCAGACTCTGATGCTATTCTCTTGAATCTTGAAGGCCAGATGGGTTTTTCTCTGCATCCCTACGAACCACACACAGTGGTCCCATCAAATGGGTGCCAGCCTCAGCCCCACTCTGGGGGGGAAGACGGCTGGGTGACCAGGGGCAGCCCCACCCCTGCATGGCGGCGGGCCCGGCCCTGCCCCACTCACCCACGCGTCTCCCACCGCAGGTGTGCCATCATGCCGACTGCCAGCAGCTGCACCGCCGGGGCCCCCTCAACCTCTGCGAGGCCTGCGACAGCAAGTTCCACGGCGCCTCTCACTGCGGCGGGCACGTTCGCTTCGACCTGCCCCCGCAAGGTGGGCGCCCTGCCACTTCCACGCCGGCCCTCCACACCCTGTCTGCAATGGGGACCGTATTTTAGTGACCACTGGGACCTTGGTAGGGCCCCAGAGGATTGAAGTTGTGTGCAGATAATGAGACACACCTATGTCCTGGTTCATTTTGTGGCACTTTTTTTTGTTGTTCGGTCGAGGGGCTTGAACTCTGGGCCTGGGCGTTGTCCCTCAGCGATTCAGCTCAAGGCAAGCGCTCTGCCACTTGAGCCACAGTGCCACTTTGGGTTTTCTAATGATTTATTAGAGATAAAAATCTCACAGACTTTCCTGCCCAGGCTGGCTTTGAACTGTGATCCTCAGATCTCAGCCTCCTGAGTAGCAAGGATTACAGGCATGAGCCACATGCTACAGGCATCCTGCTGTTGGTTTGTTTTTTTGTGCCAATACTGGAGCTTGAACTCAGGGCCTGGGCATTGAATCTTTGCTTTTTCCATCAAGGCTACTCTGCTACCACCTGAGCTACAGCTCCATTAAAGCTTTTTGGTAGTTGGATTTTCCAGCCTGGGCTGGCTCTGACCCTCGATCCTCAGATCTCAGCCTCCTGAGGAGCTAGGATGACGGGCGTGAGCTACTGGCATGGGTTATTGTTGCACAAGTATTTTGTTTTGTTTTGCTTTTAGCAAAACAATCCCAGGACTGGGCCCTTTTTCAGAGCAGGCTTCCCTTCCAGAACTCTTGTCTCTGCTGTCGCAAGCAGAGGAGACTACGGAGGAGGCCCCTTTATTCCTGCTCTGCTGGTCCTCAGGGCAGGCCTCCTCCATGACAGACTGGCTGTCTAGCAGAGTCGGTTGGGGGCCGCAGGTCAGAAGGAACTTGTAGCAGGAAATAAGAAACCCCTCCTGCTGAATAGGGCCGGCTTGGCCTACTGCCAGCTGGGTGTGAGGCACTCAGGCCTGGAGAAATTGCCGGCAGGTCCCCATTCCCAGCTGATCAGAGGGACAAAGGGACTCTCTCCCCCTCTGCAAGGAGGGGGGAGGCGAGGGGGGGGGCAGAACTTCAGGTGTGGTCACAGCCATGGGGGAAGGGAGGCCTGAAAGCTGGGAGGTCTTTGGTCTCTGCCTGCAGCAGTCCCAAAGGCAGGGCTCCATTACCTTTATGCTCTAGAAGGGTAAACTGAGGCCACAGTGGATTTAAACTAGGGGTGAGGCATCACCTGGAGGGTCACCCCACCCCAGGGCGTTTTCATCCTGGAGTCTGAGGTCATGGAGAGCCATGACCGATTCCTCCACTGGCTGAGGTACAGTGCACTAGCCACTTGCTGTGTGTATATGTGGGGGTCAAAGTCTGCATCCCTCCAGAGATGCCCATGTTCAAGGGCTGAGAAGGGGAGCAGACACAACCCCCTTTTCTCTGAAGGCTCCATCCTGGCCCGGAATGTGTCCACCCGCTCCTGTCCTCCACGCACCAGCCCTGTGGTGGACCTGGAGGAGGAGGAAGAATGCTGCCTGGATGGTAAAGGGTAGGTGGGGGCAGGTGGGAGGAGCAACGCCGTGAGGATGGTCCAGGCAGCCCCACCAACCTGAAGGGTGGCTGGCTCCACTCCCAGCCCCATTGGGTTCCATCTCATGTGGCTCCCATGTTGGCCACCAGAGGGCGCATGGTCCCACGTGCACCTGGCCTGCTTGAAAACACCTGGGGTGAGCAAGGGGTGGGGAGCCATCCAAGGGCTTCCTGCTCTAGCCAGGTGAGGACTCATCCACACCTTCAGTGTCTGCCTTCACTGCAGGGACCAGAAAAGCACGGGCCTGAAGCTCTCCAAGAAGAAAGCGAGGAGGAGACACACAGATGTAAGGAGTCCCCAGGGCTGGCAGATGCGCCGCCCCCACTGGCCTCACTGCTCTGACCCCAAGATGAGAGATGCGGTCTGGAATAGGCAACTCCCTCTCCCGCCTTCCTGCCCTGCAGCCCAGCACTGCCCACCGAGCCAGGCTGGGGCAGAGGGGCTAGGGAGACCCTTGGCCTCTGCTTCCCTGGTGGAGTCTCATCCAGAACTGCAGGCCATGGAGAAGGGGGCAGTGGCTGAGGGGCCTGTATTCTCTTAGGACCCGAGCAAGGAGTGCTTCACCTTGAAATTTGACCTGTATGTGGACATCGAGACAGAGATCGTGCCAGCTATGAAGAGGAAGTCGCTAGGGTAGAGCTTGGGGGTGCTGAGGGCAGAAGCTGGGTGGGACAGGCGTAGCCTCCCAGGGCTCTGGCTGTGTGTGTGTGTGTGTGTGTGTGTGTGTGTGTGTGTGTGTGTGTGTGTTGCACCTGGGTGTCAATACCTGCATGTCAGCCCTGGGCCCCATGTGTGTGTGAGGGTCTGTCTGCAAACTGGGTGGGCATCTGTGTGCCTCTGGAGGGCCCTGTTTGCCTCCCTTTTCTGTGGGGTCAGGGGTGGCGCTGGGGCTGTGGATGGGCAGAGGCCATACATGCACCTCCTTCCTGGGCAGGGAGGTACTGCTGCCCGTGTTTGAAAGGAAGGGCATCTCACTGGGCAAAGTGGACATCTACCTGGACCAGTCCAACACACCCCTGTCCCTCACCTTCGAGGCCTATAGGTTCGGAGGACACTACCTTCGGGTCAAAGGTGAGCGCAGGCGCCACAGACCAGCTGGCTGGAGGCCTGGTGGGGCCTCCTAGAGACAGGAGCTCTTCCGGGCTCAGCTTCTCATTGGCTGTAGCTATGGCTGTAGCTCATTACCATACAGGTGTCTCTTCTGGGTGCTGGTGGCAGGTGCTGGCAGGGTGAAGCGGTGGGGGAGGCTTGGATTCTGCAGCCTTGTGTTCCCCAGATGTGGGTGCTGAGTGCCTGTTCTTGCCTCCATATGCCACCCAGCCAAGCCAGGGGATGAGGGCAAGGTGGAGCTCTGCGTGAAGGACCCCAAGTGTCTAAGTCTACCAGTGTTGCGGCCAGCTGGGGCTGGGCCCCCCATGCTGGAGCGTGTGGACCCCCAGAGCCGCCGGGAGAGTCTCGACATCTTGGTGAGGAGGAGGAGGAGGATGTGGGGGGGCGGGCTCAAGTGGGGCTCACAGGCCCTTCCTTAGGAAAAAGTCACACTGGATTCCTCCCTGTCCTTTGTGTGCGTATATGTGTGTGTATGTGTGTGTGTGTGAATGCATGTATGCACACTTGCATTTACTGGGGCTTGAACTCAGGGCCTGGACGCTGTCCCTTAGCTGTTTTTTTCTTTTTTGGTCCCATCGTGGGGCTTGAACTCTGGGCCTGGGCGCTGTCCCTCAGCTCTTCAGCTCATGGCTAGCACTCTGCCACTTGAGCCACAGCGCCACTTACGGCTTTTTTCTTTTTGCTTATGCTTTTTTCTTTTTGCTTATATGGTGCTGAGGAATCAAACCCAGGGCCTCATGCATGCAAGGCAAGCGCTCTACCACCACTAGCCACCTTCCCAGCCCCTCCCTTAACTTTTTCACTTAAAGCTGGTGTTCCACTATTTGAGCCACAGCTCCACTTCTGGCTTTTGGTTTTTTTTTTTTGGGGGGGGTCTGGTCGTGGGGCCTGAACTCTGGGCCTGGGCGCTGTCCCTCAGCTCTTCAGCTCAAGGCTAGTGCTCTCCCACTTCAGCCACAGCACCACTTCCGGCTTTTTTCTTATGTGGTGCTGAGGAATCAAACCCAGGCCCTTGAGCATGCAAGGCAAGCGCTCTACCACTGAGCCACCTTCCCAGCCCCCACTTCTGGCTTTTTGCTGACTCATTGGAGATAAGGGTCTTATGGACTTTCTTGCCTGGGCTGACTTCAAACCTCTCAGCCTCCTGAGTAGCTAGGACTGCAGGCATGAGCTACCATTGCCTGGCTTCTTGTTCCTTTTGGGGGCTTTCGTTTCCCTTCCTGAAGATGAGCCTCTCTGTGAGAATAAGTACCTAGTCTCTTGAGTCTTCCAGTGCCCCAGGGGTTGGAGTGCATGTTTGTAAAATGAACATGCCTAAGATAGAGAGCAAGAGAGAGAAGGAACATTTGTGCTGGGGAGTGAGACGGTGCCCGATGGTAGTTAGAAGTGAGCCTCGGGTCCATTTGAAGCCACACCTGCAGGAGCCTTGGGTGTGTACAGCTGTGCTTCTTGCTACCTGCTTCATGCCTATGGCTGGGGGTGCGTGTGTGTGTGTGACATAGTCCAGAAAACTCAGTTTGGATCTGCCAGCCCCTAGAGCACACCTGCATCTCAGGAGAAGGGGTACCCCAGTATAGAAGCAGCTGTCCTGAGACCTTGCGGTGTAGGGGGTGTCTGGCAGCTGATGTGAGGTTGGCATTGATCAGTGTTCGCCGCCCAGGCTCCTGGCCGACGACGCAAGAACATGTCCGAGTTCCTGGGGGAGGCAAGCATCCCGGGGCAGGAGCCCTCGGCTCCCTCCAGCTGCTCTCTGCCCAGCGGCAGCGGTGGGGCCAGCGACAGTTGGAAGAACCGGGCAGCCAGTCGCTTCAGCGGTTTCTTCAGCTCCAGCCCCAGCACCAGTGCTTTTGGCCGGGTATGTGACCCCGAGCATGGGCTTGGGGCAAGGTGGCTGGTTGGCCTTGACCCTGACCCTGACCCAGACTCTGACTGGCTCTCCCAGGAGGCCGACAAGATGGAACAGCTGGAGGGTAAGCTGCATGCCTACAGCCTCTTCGGGCTTCCCCGGCTTCCTGGGCGACTGCGCTTTGACCATGACTCCTGGGAGGAGGAAGAAGAGGAGGAGGAGGAAGAGGAAGAGAATGCCTGCCTGAGGCTGGAGGACAGTTGGCGGGAGCTCATTGATGGTCACGAGGTGGGCACAACTGTATTCTTTCTTCCTCTCTGAACGAGAAAGCCCCTGGGAGGCCCCAGGCCACTCCATGGTACCCCCAGAGACTGGGGGTACTGAGGCAAGGTGACATTGGTATACCTCCCGGCTGTTTCAGTGGCAGTGGGGCATCCACATCTTGGGTGTCTTGTTTTTTTTTTGTTGTTGTTGGTAGTGGGGATTGAACTCAGGGCCTGAGCCCTGTCCCTGAGCTCTTTTGTTCAAGACTAGTGCTGTACCACTTTGAGCCACAGCTCCACTTGTGACCTTGGGTGTCGTGATGGTGGCAATCGAGTGATGGTGGGGTGGCGTGCTCATTCTGCACTTCTGTGGCATCGTTGGGAAATGAGGACATTGTGTGCCAGGTGTTGCCCTTCCCCTGGCTTTCTTCCCCCTCCCTCACCCTTGGGCTCCTTTGACATGCCTGCCTTCCGTCTAGAAGCTGACCCGGAAGCAGTGCCACCAGCAGGAGGCAGTATGGGAACTCCTCCACACGGAGGCCTCCTACATCAGGAAACTGCGTGTGATCACCAACGTGAGTGTGGCGTCCACAGTACTCCCGGTATGGGGTCTCCGTCTGGGCTCTTAGAAGAGGAGCAGGTACCTAACCCGGGTCAGAAAAGGGCTGCCCTTGGGAGGTGATTTCCAAGTGACCTGCGTGGGGGCCCAGGCCAGTCGGCCGGTGTTTCCCAGGCCCTGCGGTGGTGTCACAGGAGGGGTTCCACTCGGGGAGGGAGGTCTTGGTGGCTCTTCTGAGTGGAGATCCATCCTCTGAGGTGAGCCAGGCAGAGGTAGGCGGAGAGCTCCAGGAGCAGTGGCAAGGCCAGCTTCGCCGGCTTCCCTCCCGACTCAGGTGGGGTGACCCGAGCTTAAGTGAGGGTTCCACTGCCTTTATCCCAGGAAGGGGCGGGAAGGGGGAGGCTGAGGCTGGGTCCAGACAGCGGCCCTTCAGCTACAGCATCCCCTGTCCCCGCAGCTGTTCCTGTGCTGCCTCCTCAACCTGCAGGAGTCGGGGCTGCTGTGTGAGGTGCGGCCGGGCCTGGGGCGGCGGCGGGGAGGTACTAGGAAGGAGGGGCGGGGCCGGAAGGGGCGGGGCCGACCGCCTGTCCCGCCCCGCCCAGGTGGACCCCGAGCGCCTGTTCAGCAACATCCCCGAAATCGCGCGGCTGCACCGCGGGCTGTGGGGCGGCGTGATGGCGCCCGTGCTGGAGAAGGCGCGGCGCACGCGGGCGCCGCTGCAGCCCGGAGACTTCCTCAAAGGCTTCAAGGCGGTAGGGCGGGGCCTCCGGGAGGGGCGGGGCCTCCGGGAGGGGCGGGGCCTCCGGGAGGGGCGGGAGAGTACTAGGCTGGCCTTTCCCCTGGGGTGGTCTGGGCGGCGGGGTGAAGAGCCTGGTTAAGCGGGCCGGCCTGGAGGCTCCAGCGGTAACCGGTGTTGGTTGCTCTGCCCTGGGTCAGTTCGGCTCCTTGTTCAAGCCTTACATCCGGTACTGCATGGAGGAGGAGGGCTGCATGGAGTACATGCGCGGCCTGCTGCGTGACAACGACCTGTTCCGCGCCTACCTCACGGTGAGGGTGGCTGGGGGGGGGGGTGGAGGGAGGTGCTGCAGGTGCGCGCCACGGAGGGGCGTGGCCTGGGTGAAGCAGGGGGCGTGTTCACTGGGGGCGTGCGCGTGGACGATGCTCGCCAGTGGGTGGGCGTGCCCTTGGGGATGGTGAGCTGTAGTGATTGGGCGTGGTCTGACCGGAGCCCCGCCTCCCCACTACAGTGGGCGGAGAAGCACCAGCAGTGCCAAAGGCTGAAGCTGAGCGACATGCTGGCCAAACCTCACCAGCGGCTCACCAAATACCCGCTGCTGCTCAAGTCGGTGCTGAGGAAGACGGACGAGCCCCGTGCGAAGGAGGCCGTCCTCACCATGGTAACTCGAGCCGTGCGCAGAGGCCCCTCCAAGGCCTTCTGCCCCTCCTGGACCCTGGGCCTAAGCCCCCTGTGTGTCCGCTGTCCCCAGATCAGCTCGGTGGAGCGCTTCATCCACCACGTGAACACCTGCATGCGGCAGCGGCAGGAGCGGCAGCGGCTGGCGGCCGTCCTGAGTCGGATCGACGCCTACGAGGTGGTGGAAGGGACCAACGACGAGGTGGACAAGGTAGGCTCGTGTCTAGGGGAGGGCCTTCAGCCTAGCTCGGCTGGCCCATGCTGACAGGCGTGATGCTGGGGCCTCTCAGCTGAAGTGGAGAGGGCCTGACACCCCCCCCACACAACCCTACCCCCAGCTCTTGAGAGAATTTCTGCACCTGGACCTGACAGTGCCCATCCCTGGCGCCTCCCCGGAGGAGACACGGCAGCTGCTGCTGGAGGGGAGCCTTCGGATGAAGGAGGGGAAGGACAGCAAGGTGACTAGGGCCGCTGCCCCGTTGATGCTTGCCCTGTATTGAGCATCTGTCCTGGTCACCTCCCGGCTGGGCTGCAGCTTGTGGTTCCTGCCTGTGTAGTCGGGGAAGTAGTAACCTAAGAGCTTGCCTGCAGTGCACAAAGGCAGCAACAGGTGACAGTGGCAGAGAGGGGCACAATCTGTGCTGGTCAAGAGCTTCCTGTGGAAAGTGCTAGAATGATCCCAGGACCCCAGCCCTCACCCCTATGGCCTCCCCTGTTCCCCCACCCCAGATGGATGTGTACTGCTTCCTCTTCACCGATCTGCTCTTGGTGACGAAAGCTGTGAAGAAGGCAGAGAGGACCAAGGTCATCAGGCCACCGCTGTTGGTGGACAAGATCGTGTGCCGGGAGCTTCGGGACCCCGGTGAGGACCCCTGGCAGCCTTGGCAGGGACAGTGATGGGCAGGGGCTTTGGTCTTGGCTTAGACTAAGACGGGTCCTCCCTGACCAGGCTCCTTCCTCCTCATCTACCTGAACGAGTTCCACAGTGCTGTGGGGGCCTACACATTCCAGGCCAGTGGCCAGGCCTTGTGCCGTGGCTGGGTGGAGGCCATTTACAATGCCCAGGTGAGAGCAGCGTGACCTGGGGATGGACAGGGCAGACTTGAGGGCTGTTGGGTACAGGCCATTCTTTCTCTGTGCCCACCAACCGCACCCACAGAACCAGCTGCAGCAGCTACGAGCACAGGAGCACCCCGGTGGCCAGCAGCACTTACAGAACCTGGAAGAAGAGGAGGATGAGCAGGAGGAGGATGACGAAGAGGATGAAGAAGGCGAGGAAAGCGGAGCGTCGGTGGCCAGCTCCCCCACCATCTTGCGCAAGAGCAGCAACAGCCTCAACTCCCAGCAGTGGTATGTTTGCTCAAGAGCAGCTGGCAGGTTCCAGGAGGGCCAGGTCTCCTTTCCAAAGCCATGGGCACTGGACCGGGCCCCGCCACATCCCCTTCCTCTGTCTGTAGGATCTCATGTCACAAACTCGTGGGAGTGTTAGGGTAAGCTCAGCCTTTCACTGAAGCCCAAAGTCCAGGCAGGGAAGACAGCTTCTGCCTTGGAGTGTCCAGCCCTAGAGCCCTGTAGTTTTAAGGATTCTTAAACCAGGGAAGAGTTTGTGTTTATTTTTTGTGCCACTACTGGGACTTGAACTCAGGGCCTGGGCTTTGTTCCTGGGCTTTTTTGCTTAAGGCTAGTGTTCTACCACTTAAGACATAGTTCTACTTCTGGCTTTTTGCTGGCTAATTGGAGATAAGAGTCTCAAAGATGGCTCACGCCATCCACTAGCTACTCAGGAGGCTGAGATCTGAGGATCAGGGTTCAAAGCCAGCCCAGGCAGGAAACTCCATGAGACTCTTATCTCCAGTAAACCACTAGAAAACTAGAACTGGTGTTGTGGCTCAAGCAGTAGAGTGCTGGTCTTGAGCTGAAGAGCTGAGGGACAGCACCCAAGCCCAGAGTTCAACCGACAAAAAACAAGTCTCAAGGACTTTTTCTTTTTTGTCAGTCGTGGGGCTTGAACTCTGGGCTTGGGCGCTATCCCTGCGCTTTTCAGCTCAAGGCCAGCACTCTACCACTTGAGCTACAGCACCACTTCCGGTTTTCTAATGGTTTACTGGAGATAAGAGTCTCAGGGACTTTCCTGCCCAGGCTGGCTTTGAACCACGATCATCAGATCTCAGCCTTCTGGGTAGCTAGGATTATAGACATGAGCTATTTTTACCTGGCTCTGAAAAGAGATGTCTGTTCTACAACAGCCATCTTGGCTCAGGGACTGGAAGATCTCTGAGCCTTGAGCTCCTGTGGGGGGCAGAGGCTGTAAACCAATCTGCATTTCCCAATGTGTGGGCTGCCTCCCAATGTGGGAGGCCTCCTAGGCCTCCTCTGGCCGGGCTGACTCTCTTGCTGGCCCTGCAGTGCCTCAGACGGCTCCACAGAGACCCTGGCCATGGTGGTGGTGGAGCCTGGCGAGATGCTGTCCTCCCCGGAGTTTGATGGTGCCCCCTTCAGCTCCCAGTCGGACGAGACCTCTCTGAGCACCACCGCCTCATCCATCACGCCCACCTGCGAGCGGTTGCCCCTGGGCCCGGTGGATGGCCGCTCCTGCTCCATGGACTCTGCCTACGGCACCCTGTCCCCCACCTCCCTCCAGGACTTCGTGGCTCCAGCCCCTGTGGCGGAGCCAGTGTCCCGGCCCCCAGAGTCATCACAGACCTCTTCACCTCGCCTCCGCCGCCGTACCCCTGTCCAGCTTCTGCCTCCCCTGCCTCACCTGCTCAAGTCCAAATCCGAGGCCAGCCTCCTCCAGCTGCTGCCAGGGGCTGCCCTCTGCGGAGCGCCCTCAGTCCCCAGCCGCAGCTTGTCAGAACTCTGCCTGGCCTCCACAGCCCCTCGGGCTAGGACTCAGGGTTCTCAGGAGCCTGGGCCTAGCTGGGATTGTCCCCGGGCCCCTTGTCTTGCCCATGGCCCTCAGCTGTCCAAGTGCCAGGGCAAAGCGAGCTGCCTGTCCGAGGAACCTATAGGTACTGCTCAGAGGAGAGGCAGAGAGCTATCTTCTGGAGCTTCTCCCAGGGCCCAGCCTGAGACCCCCCCAGGGATCTCTGCCCAGCACAGGAAGCTGACCCTGGCCCAGCTCTACCGAATCAGGACCACCCTGCTGCTTAACTCCACTCTCACTGCCTCGTGAGTTCCCTGGTACAGAGCCCCAGTGGTGGGTGGGGGTGTGATCATGTGATCATGTCTGGACGTGGCAGCACTTGGACGTGGGGTTGGGGAGAGAGCCTGAGACCTTTCCCTGGTGCCTTGATCAGGTGTCTGTGGTGGGCAGCAAGGAAGGCGCCTGAGCATCATGGTGGGGGGAGAGGGTATCTGGAGCTCGTGCTGGCATCAGCCAATGAAGATCTGTCTTTCCCCACCTTTGCAGGGAGGTTTGAGCAGAGGAGACCCCGAGGGTGCCGTTGGCCAAGGGACAGCAGACAGCATAGCCCCTGGGAGGCATGGCAGCTGCTGTGTCGCCTCTGCATGAGCCGAGTTGGGCACCACGCCTGCCTCACCGCCAGGCCCACCCGCACTTTGCAGACTGGATGGAGTGGAGCAGGGCTCCGTGCACCCCTTCACCTGCCCAGGCAGCGTCTTGTGCCCCGCTCTTGAAGCTGCCAGCTCTAATCCTTGGGGCTGGGTACCAGGCCGCCCTTCCCACTGCCGTGGTCACTTGGCCTCCCACAGGAGCCCTCGTCTCCAGGCCTCTCTCCCCCTCCCCCCTCCCAGTCTGAGGCTGGGTTCTGTGAAAAGCTGTGTATTTATTGAGCTTCGATTCTTTTATAAAGATGGCATATCTGCTCCCTTGGAAAGAGTCCTGTGCTTCTGGAGCCTGCCCCCCCCCGCCCAATCCCTGCTCAGGTGCAGGGGGGCTTCTGGATGTGCCTCTGCTACCAGGCGGCCCTGGGGCTCCACGCAAGACACCGGGCGAAGCAGCCGTGCAGTAATGGGTTGGAGGGGGGAGGGGTCTCCAGATCAACCCCCAGGACTGCTCCCTGCCCCGGCCATCAGAGCCTTCACCCGGTGCCGCTGCCCTCGCACCTTCTTGCTCTGCCTCTGCCCCACCCCTGTGTGGAGGCGCAGCAGATGACTATCTCAGGCTCCCCAGAGGATATCTGAGTAACGGGAAGGTGGGGCTCCCATCTGGGTCCGCCTAGGTACTTTTAGCCCCACCCCTTGCACAACACCTGGGCACTGAAGCCCAAACAGGAATCATTTGCCCTGACTGTGCCTCCTAAGTGGCGGTTCCCATCGCTAGGGCTAGACTCAGGGAGAGGGTGGGGCTGCAGCCCTGGCCCACGCCACACTCGGGCACAGGCGCGCTAGGGCCACTGGGCAGGAGCTGGCATCAGGGTGTCCATCTGGCCGTGGGGGTGCGTCCTGCACATCCTGCTTGGCTTCCAGAGAAGGTAGGCCCCGCCCTGGCTGCCCCTGAGGCGGGTTCTTCTAGAAGGCGGGCCCTGCAGGTCCTGGCTAGGCTCTGAGGGCAAGGGCTGCTGGGGGGGAAGCCCCGGGCCCCAGGACCAGGCACAGGCCTGCTCAGAAGGCCATGGAACCGTGGCCCTGGGGCTGCACGGCAGGGGCTGTGGTGAGTGGGGATGGGGGGAAGAGGGGGGATCCTGAGCCCGCTTACAGCCTAGGAATGAACCTTTGCCTAGGGAAGGGGCCCCACAGGCATCTGTGATCATGATGGGGCCTCACTGCGCCCTCCCCTCTCCCCGACCTACTTTGAGCTGTGGCGGCAGCGCCCTTCCGTCGAGAGGAAATGTACTCCTCAGGATCACAGGGGTCTGGGGGGGTGGGGTGGGCACCTCACAGGAAGCACAGGTAGGGTGAGATTCTGGCCCTGCTGGGAGGGAAATGTGTGAGGGGCTGACAGGGCCCCTCTTCTGCCTCTCCTAATCTTGAGGAAGGAAGCTGGGCTCACCCCCTACCCATGGCAACCCTGCTGCCCTGGAGCCTGGGAAGCGGGCTGCTCTGTGGGCAAATACTGGGGCCTTTGCTGAGGAGGAAGCTGGGTGAGGAGAGGCCCCCGCATGGGGTCAGCGGTACCTGTGCCCCTAGGCTGTCCTCCTGCTCCTGCTGCTGGGTGCCCAGGGCCAGGCCAGCACCCCTGGGCCTGGGTGTGACTGTGCCAGTGGCCTCCAGAGGAGGTCTAACCCGCTGTGTTGCAAGGGCTGTCCAGTGGGTGAGTGATGGGGTGAGGGGCTGGCTGGGGGTAGCTGCAGTCAGGCAGGTTTGAGAGTGGAGTGGGGAGAAGCTGGGGTGCCAGGTGAGGTGGGAGGGAAGCCGAGTGCCAGGGTAGGCAGGGAGGGCAAGGTGGGGAACAGCCCAGAGGTTCTGGGCAGACCTGCCACCTCTGCGTGGCCTCCACAGGACACTACATGAAGGCCACCTGCACAGAGCCCTGTGGGGCCCCCACCTGCCTCCCGTGCCCCCAGGGTACCTTCTTGGCCAGGGATAATCACTCTAAGGCTCGGTGTACCCGCTGCCAGTCCTGCGATGAGGAGGGTGAGGAGCTGCCCAGGGTTCGGTGGGATTCTGCTGCGGGCAGGACGCGGCCAGGGTCTTTCTGGCCGCGTGGCTAGCCTTGGGTCCAGGCTTTGGATGTAAGGGCTCTGTCACCCGCCCACCCATCCTCTACCCTGATCCTACCTCGGGGTGCCTTTGCCCCTTCCCCTTTCTGGTGTGCACAAGCCTTGGCCTCTAGTCTGCTGGGACTTGCTGTCTTCCCTCCTATTTGGGCGAGTCTTTATCTGTCTGCTCTGTCCCTGTGTCCATCCTCTGAGGACGCTGGCCCTGATTTCCATAGGGGGTCTGACTATCTCTGCACACCTCCCTCTCCCCCACTAGCCTCCCAGGTAGCCCTGAAGAACTGTTCCACACTGGCAGACACCCAGTGCGGCTGTGCGCCTGGCTGGTTTGTGGACTGCTCAGCCAAGCCCTGTAGGGAAAGTTCACCCTTCCACTGCCGCCCTTGCACCGACTGTGAGGTCTTGAACCGCCACCCACAGCTGCCCTGTAAGTACTTCGCCCTGGGCTAACTCCTGAACCCCTTTTCCCAGCCCCATAATCCCATCATAACACTTAGCTCCCTTCTCCCAGCCCCACATCCCCCCATGACCCCTGTCATCTCTTGTTCTGCAGGTTCTAGCAGAGACACTGAATGTGGGCCCTGTTTGCCTGGCTTCTACGAACGTGGTGATGGCTGCGTGTCCTGCCCCACGTAACTTCCTGGCTGTCCTGGGCCCAAGGGCAGGGAGGATGGGGGGAGGAGTGGGGAAGCTACTTCTGGTTAGGGCTAAGGAGGAAGGAGCTTGGGGGGTGGGTCCACTTTAAGTGAACAGGTTGGTATAGGGAAATTTGGGTTTGCTTTATTCCAGATAAATAAGGGGATGTATCTTCATGTTGTGCCATCATGTCCCTTAGCGAGCGATCCTTCCAGCTGAACGTTCACAATGACTTGTGCTCATATAGGCAGTCACACTGAGCTTCAGAACTGAGGCTGGGCTTCAAATTCTCGGGCAAGCTCAGAGAAATAGCCTCTGATCTTGGTGCAAACATGGAGGAAGGGGGCAGTAGGTCCTTCCTGGGAAGGGGAAGACACCTTACTCATTTGCCTATCCATGCGCGCTCGCGCGCGTGTGTATGTACTCGAGCTTGAACTCAGTACCTTATGCTTCCCTTGCCTTTTCCTTGGTAGAAAGTTCCTCAGCACCACATAAACAAAAAGAAAAAAGCCGGAAGTGGCGCTGTGGCTCAAGTGGTAGAGCGCTAGCCTTGAGCTGAAGAGCTGAGGGACAGCACCCAGGCCCAGAGTTCAGGCCCCATGACCCGACCAAAAAAAAAGGAAAGTTTTACTGCTTGAGCCACATCTCCACTTCCAGGTTTTTTTTTTTTTTTTTCCTGGTAAATTAAGATAAGAGTCTTCCCAGGCTGGCTTTGGACCACGATCCTGAGATCTCAGCCTCCTGAGTAGCTAGGATTACAGGCTTGAGCCACCAGCACCCAACTATCTATGTCTTTGAGCACTTGCCATTTTCTAGACATCATTGTAGTAGGGCTATAGAGGGGACCAAAGAGGAAGACAGGAGCTAAGGATATAGCTCCTATGCTAGAGCACTAGCCTAGCAGTACAAGGACCTGAGTTCAAACTTCAGCATTCAGTACCCCTCACCTCAAAAAAAACAAAAAAAACTAAAGAAGCAAGAATCCTTACTCTTTTTTTTTTTTTTTGGGTTGGTCGTGGGGCTTGAACTCTGGGCCTGGGCACTGTCCCTGTGCATTTCAGCTCAAGGCGAGCACTCTACCACTTGAGCCACAGCACCACTTCCGGTTTTCTAGTGGTTTGTTGGAGATAGGAGTCTCATGGACTTTCCTGCCCAGGCTGGCTTTGAACCACGATCCTCAGATCTCAGCCTCCTGAGTAGCTAGGATTACAGGCGTGAGCCACCGGCACCTCGTCTAGATGCTCAGTAAATTGTATTTGTTGGAGACACAGGTGACATTTCAACCATACTTTGAGAACCTTCTTAGACAGAGTGAGGCTTACAGGAGAGAGGCCTGGAGAAGGAAGGGGCTGCGGGATGGGGAAAGCATCAGGCACCTGAGGAGCCCTTGTAGTGTGTGTGCCTCCTGCCTCAGTCCCTCACCTCTCCTACAGGAGCATCTTCAGGAGCTGTCCCGAGCCCTGCGCTGCTGTCTGTGGCTGGAGGCAGAGTAGGTGGTGTGCTGGGATTCCTGAGGGGAGAACTGCTGGGCAGTAGCCACCACCCAGCACCCACCAGCTGCTCTTTCAGTGTTCTGGATTCAGGTGCTTGTGGCTGGCCTGGTGCTTCTACTCCTGCTTGGAGCCATCCTGATCTACAGGTATCACTACCGCCAGCCTCCTAAGCCTGTGGTGTCTGGTAAGTCCCCAAGCCTGGGATCAGGATAGACACTTGAGAGTCAACCTTGGCTGGCACAAAAGGAGAAACTAAGAAGAAACCAAGAGGAAGAGCTGGACCAGGACTCAGGTGGAAGGGTCTTGCCTGAGCAAGTTCTAACCAGAGCTTCTTTGTGTCTTTCAGCAGACCCAGCTGGGACAGAGGCCCTGACCCCACCAAGGGTAAGAATCTCAGAACGTAATGGGGGAAAAAGGCTGCTTTCTGGGACTCAATTACTTGTTGTTAGCTTACTTACAGCAGCTGACAGTAGGTTAGACCTAAAGGACATGTGTTAAGAGCTGAGTTACCAGTGGAGGAGGCCAGCCCTCAGTAGCTCTGTCTGCTGAGGTCTGGGGAGCTAACATTCAGAGGAAAAATGTTCTTCTGGGGTGGGTGAACAGGGCAGAGTTCCAGGCAGAGACAACAAGAGTGTTCTGGGCAGCAAGAGAGGGCAAGGGCTGCTGGGGGAGGCAGCATTGGGGATTTCTGCTGCCTGACTCTGCCAAAGTCTACAGCAGAAGGAGGCCTTTCTAAGAAAACAGGGCTCAACTGGGACCTCCCTTGGCTTCCAGGACACCCATCTCTCGCCCTTGGACAGCGTCTGCACTCTCCTGGTGCCCCCTGGAGACAGTAGGAAGACCTGTACCGACCAGCTGGTAACCAACAGCTGCTGGATCCCTGGCTCCTCCCAGACCCAGGCTGCTCCTTGCCGGCATGTGCCACAACCCTGGGACCACGTGCCCAGCAGAGCTCTTGGTAAGAGATTAAGTGGTCTGAGGCCTTGACCCCATCCTGTTAAGTTCAAGGTGAAATGTTGTAGTTTTATAACTTGACTACAATTTCCCACTCAGTAACTGAGTGGTGTCTGTGCCTTGTCCTTAGGGTCCATTAGGCATTATGTATGATGTCTGTACAAATGCATGTATGTATGTGTTTGCCTGGGAGACAGGCTTAAACTCAGAGCCTTGAATTCTCTTAGCAAACGCTAAGGCTGGACATTCTTTCAAGGCTAGTGTGTACCACTTGAGCCACCACTCCATTTTCAGCCTTTTTTTTTTTGTCGGTCATGCGGCCTGAACTTGGCCTGGACGCTGTCCCTCAGCTCTTCAACTCAAGGCTCTACCACTTGAGTCATAGCACCACTCCTGGCTTTTTCTGCTTATGTGGTGCTGAGGAATTGAACCCAGGGCTTCATGCATGCGAGGCACTCTACCACTGAGCCACCTTCCTAGCCCCATTTCCAGCCTTTTGTTGGCTAACTGGAGATAAGTCAGTCTCATGGATTTACCCACCCAGGCCGTCTTTGACCCAGGATCCCCAGGTCTCAGCCTCCTGGGTACTAGCTAAGATTACAGTAAGCAGTGAGCCCGCCCTCCCCCGACTCCGCCCCCTGCTGCAGCTTGACGTCCCATTGGCTCTCCCTCTGGCCCCGCCCGCAGGCGCGCCTCCAGCCCCGGAACCAGCGCCCCCTGCAGGCTCGCCCGCCGCCTTGCTGCAGCCGGGGCCGCAGCTGTACGACGTGGTGGACGCGGTGCCGGCGCGGCGCTGGAAGGAGTTCGTGCGCACGCTGGGGCTGCGCGAGGCGGAGATCGAGGCCGTGGAGGTGGAGATCTGCCGGTTCCGTGACCAGCAGTACGAGATGCTCAAGCGCTGGCGCCAGCAGCAGCCCGCGGTGCTGGGCGCCATCTACACAGCCCTGGAGCGCATGGGGCTGGGCGGCTGCGCCGAGGACCTGCGCGCCCGCCTGCAGCGGGACGCGCCCGCGGCGACGCCCCGGTGACCCGGCGCCCAAGCCCTAAGTACGGTTACTTATGCGTGTAGACATGTTATGTCACTTACTAAGCCCCCGGCCGGCCCTGCGTAGCAGCGCCCGCCCGTCCCCCTGTCCACCTGCTGAGGGCCGGTAACTGCGCACCCGTTCCCGGCCCGAGGCCTCGGTATTAAATCTCTGAAAAAAGCAGCTTTTTGGTGTGTCCGTGGAGGCTGGAGGGGGTTTTAAGTGACGCGAGCCTGGCCTCCCGCGGCCGGGGTCGGGTGGAGGCCGGGGCCCCGCACCCCCTCTCCCCCATGCGCCCCCCACCCAAGGCGAGTCGCGGCGACGCCCAGTGAGAGAGAGCCGAGCCCAGGCGGCAGAGAGCTTTAATCGGGGGAGGGCGGCAGGGCGGGGGTCGGGAGCAGTCGGGGCCACGGGGGGAGCCCGGCCCACCCCCGTCCTGCACTCACCCCAGCAGGGCCGAGGAAGGGGGAGCGAGCGAGGGTCCCGGCGGGGGTAACTGGAGGGCGGAGGGGCGAAGGCGGGGCCCGGGGCGGAAGTCCCGCCCCCTCGGCGGGCAGGCTTCCACGTTTCTGGTAAACAAATGACTTGAGAGGAAACCCTCGGCGGGGAGGGGGTGAGAAAAGCGTCTGGACCCCGGCCAGGCGAGATGTGGGTCGGGGAGGAAAACCCCTTCCCGAGCTCGGGGCTTGCCTCCGCCCAGGATGCTCCAGCGACGCCCATTCCGGGGTGCGGGGGAGGGGGCTGCACGCTGACAGGAGCATGCAGGTGTGTGTGCGTGCGTGCGTGCGCGCGTGCGTGTGAGTCGGCATGCAAATAGGCGGCGGCGGTTTGCGTCAGCAGCTTGGGCACTTTTTCTGGGCAGACTGCGGTGGCGGTGGCGGCGGCGGCGGCGGCGGCGGCTGCAGCGCGCGCCTGCGCTCCAGCGGTGGCGGGGCTGGGGGTGCGGGGCCGGGGTGTGGGGGTCAGAGAGGGTTCCCGCGCAGAGGGGAGGGACGGCACGGCGCCCAGCCCGTCCATACCCACCGTGCAGGCCGAAGCAGGGGCTGGGAGACGCCCCCTCTGAGCTCAGGCTAACAGGCAGGAGGCCGTGGTGTCGTTCCCCACTATTGCTTAGGGATATCCCCCTTCTTCAGGATGACCTGTCGCTGCCAGGGCGCTAGCTTGGTTTCATCGTAGCCCAGGGTCCGCAGCTTCTCCGACTGCTCTTTCTCCCTCTGCTGCATCTCCTGCTTCTGTCTCTCCTCCTCTTTTCTGTGGATGGATGGGGATAGAACCCAGTAAAGCCTGGGCTGGACCACTCGGTTGGGCCAGGCACCAGAATGGTAATGGAAGAGGAGGAAATGAAGACAGAATTAGGCTGCTGGAAACAGACACAGGGCCTTGCCTGGTGGCAGATCGGGGTTACTGGGTCACAAGGAGGAACTGGCGAGGTGGGAGGCTGAAGTTGGGTTATTAGGGACTTGGCAGTGTTACTGGAAACAGCAATGTTGGTCACCACACGGCAGTGTGAGGATGGGTGAGCTCATGGAGTGAGGTTACTGGGTACATCCCCTCCCTTGACAAGGCAGCCACTAAATGTGGTTGTGCAGCATTTGAAATTTGGCTGGTCCAATTTGGGATGTAATGTAGGTGTCAAATACACAGTAGTTTGGGGCTGGGCATGTGGCTCAGTGGTAGAGTACTTGCGTAGCAGGCATGAAGCCCTGGGTTCAATTCTTCAGTATCACATACACAGAAAAGGCTGGAAGTGGTGCTGTAGCTTAAGTGGTAGAGTGCTAGCCTTGAGTGAAAGAAGCTCAGGGGACAGTGCCCAGCCCGAGTTCAAGCCCCAGAACTGGCAAAAAAACAAACACCACTACACGGTAGTTTGGAAACCAAGGTGGTGTTGTCCACACACACTGCTCCCCGGCCCCTTCCTCTGCCCATATTGGGGCTTGAACTCTGTGTCTGGGCATTATCCCTTAGATTTGTCACTCAAGGCTGTGGCTCTACCAGTTGAGCCATACCTCCTCTTCTGGCTTTTTGCTGGTTAGTTGTAGATAAAGACTCTCACAGACTTATCCGTTTGGTCTGGCTTTAAACCTCAATCATCAGATTTCAGCCTCCTGAGTTCTGAGTGGCTAGGATTACAGATTTTTTTTTTCCCCATTGTGGGGCCTGAACTCTGGGCCTGGGTGCTGTCCCTTAGCTCTTCAGCTCAAGGCTAGTGCTCTACCACTTGAACCACAGCGCCACTTCTGGCTTTTTCTGCTTATGTGGTGCTGAGGAATTGAAGCCAGGGCCTCATGCATGCAAGGCAAGCACTCTACCACTGAGCCACCTTCCCAGCCCCTCTCTCTCTATATATTTTTTTTGGTTGGGCTTGAACTCGGCCTGGGTGCTATCCCTGCGCTCATCAGCTCAAGGTAAGCACTCTACCTCGTGGGCCACAGCACCACTTCCAGTTTTCTAGTGGTTTTATTGGAGGTAAGAGTCTCACGGACGTTCCTGCCCAAGCTGGCTTTGAACCGCAATCCTCAGATCTCAGCCTCCTGAGTAGCTAGGATGACAGGCTTGAGCCACCAGCGCCCGGCTTCATATCATATTTATTGGCTAGCACTGGGTCAGATTACTGAGTGCAGAAACTATGTTTAGAGGGACAGATAATTAACGTTATTGATTCTGTTATTGGGTTCACTGCAGGGTGGGAAGGATGGACTACTAGGTGGAAGTGGATCATTTTGAAAGAAAGCACAACAGCTAGACTTTGGAGACAGGTGTTAAGAGACAGAGTGAGGGAATTAGACACCACTGGGAGCAGAGAGGTCATGCTTCAAGGTCTGAAATGACTGACAGGATATCCCGTATCCCCAAGATTAGGCTGATGAAAGGGTACAATAGGTCAAGCTTCTGATACTAGGCGGAGAAGGGGTGGCAGCCCCATACTTACCGCTTCTGCTCCCTGGAAGAGGAAAGAGACAACATTAGTTGATGCTCAGGCCTCAAGAACCATCAAGACACCCTGCCAGACCAGCCTCATCCTGACCCCCGCCAGCTCACCTCTCCTCTTCCAGCTTCTTCCGCAGGAGATCTCGTCTCCAGGCAGGCAGGCTGGCCAGCCGGGCCTCCTCCTCTTCCTCCTAAAAAAAAACCACAAAGCTTAGGACAAGTGTGGGCCAGCAGGTATGGGGCCACTGGAGAGCGTGGGCAACAGAACACCTATGTGGCCACAGGTAGAGACATCCCCCACCGTGTGTGTGTGCACATGCGCGCACGCATGCGCATGCATGTGTGCACACTGGGGCTTGAATATGGGGCCTGGGCATCCCCTAGCTTTTTCACTCAAGGCTGGTGCTCTACCATTTGGGTCACAGCTCTACTTCTGGCTTTTTGCTGGTTAATTGGTAAGAGTCTCACAGACTTTCTGCTTAAGTTGGTTTTGAATCGGGATTCTCAGATCTCAACCTCCTGAGTAGCGCTCTAGTGGCTCAGGCTGGTGGCCTAAGAGCAGTGGCGGAAAAGTTCAGAGCTGAGTGCAGAAGGTAGAAGGGGGCAGAGAACACAGCAGCTGGGCCCCAGAGGGCCCGAGTTTGCTTTCCCACAGGGCAGGTGGGTGGATGGCTCCAGTCCCATCACCCAGCATCTCTGGACAGACCCAGACTTAGCCCTCACCCCACTCCTAACCAGCCTAAAGAGGCGCTGGCACCCAGGGCTTCTCTGTGACTGACTCACAAGAGGCCCGTGCCTGCCCCGTTCATTGTAATGACACGGGGTGGCCCATGGGGGACATCCAACACACAGCCCAAGGCAAAGTGTTTTATTCCTTCCTTGGACGATACAGAAGAGAAAGAGTCTGCACACGCTGCACATCACACGGAACACTGCACAGGTGGCCACGGAGGTAGCTGTTAACTTCAGTGAAAACCAAGCACACGGGAGGAAAGAATGGGCCAGCCACACTGCCCGGGGGGAGATCCCCCGTCCCTCGCTCGGCCCACTTCTGCTGCTGCTTCCATGCCAAAGCCCAGGCCACAGGGAAACTCCTGTCCTGCCAGGTGCCGCGCCCTGTCTGTCCCGAGGCCCCACAGCCGGCCTGCGGGGGGCCTCAGAGGCTGGGGCGGCAGGACCCGGCACGCCGCTCGGCACCGGCCTGGGGCCTCAGACAGGCCATGGAGCCTGGGCTGCGATGCGTGAGACCAAGCACTGAATTTCCCGTTCAGATCTCAAAGAGCTCTGCCTCCTTCTCCTTCCAGAAGGAGAAGCTGCGATCGATGTAGCGGCAGATGTCCTCATTGCTGAACTCGCCCATCTCAGAGACCAATTCCAAGGGGTCTTCCGCGGGGCCCGGGCCGCTCGGCGGGCCGGAGGTGGGCGGCGGCGGGGCGGCGGGCGGGGGCTGCGGCGCGGGCGCCGGGGTCTCGGGCTGCCCCTCGGGCGGGTCCTCCGGCGGGGCGGGGCTGGCCTCTTCCCCTGGCCCCCTCTCTTCCTCGTCCTGGCGCCTCTCCTTCTCCTCTGCCCCTTCCTCCCGGGGGCCTGCTTCGGCCTCGGGGCCGTCCCCGAAGAACTGGCGGCTGAGGTCGTCAAAGCCGTCTCTCCAGCCGCGCCGGCCGGCCTCCACCTCCTCGAGCACGGCGCGGTGGAAGCGGCGGATGCGCTCCCACGGGTGGCTGCCCAGCCGGTCGAACACCTCGTAGCACAGCAGGTGGCGGAACTCGCGCTCCTCGCGGCTCAGGCTCATCTCCAGCAGCTGGAAGTAGCCGAGCATGAAGAGGTCGAGCGTGAGGCTGTCGTAGCGCCGCGGCCGGCCGCCGTCGAGGGGCGGCAGGAAGTGCTGGGGCCAGTACACGCCGTGCCCCAGGCCCGGGCCGCGCGGCTGGCGCGCGGGCACCTGCCGCAGCAGACTCCGCCAGCGGCCCAGCAGCCGGCCCACCACCTGCCGCTGCTTCAGCAAGTGCAGGAGGCGCCCGTCGGGGCCGCGGGCCGCGGGCTGCGGGACGGCGTCGGGGGCTTGGGGACCCGGGACGGCGCCGGCGGCCACCACGCGCGGCAGCAGTCTGCGCAGGCGCGCCTGGGCTTGGTGCCCGGGGCCGCGGAAGGTCCACTTGCGCCAGTGCTCCAGGAAGAGGTAGACGATGCGCTCCTTGCGCATGTTGATGTAGTCCTGGACGCCGGGAAGCTCGGTGGGAAGCGGCGGCCTGCTCGCCAGCTGCTCCAGCTCGGACTCCAGCAGCGCGTCCTGGCCATCCGGCGTCTCGGCAGATTCGGGGGTGCTTGGGGGCTCCCCGGCGGCCAGCAGGCCGTTGGCGACGGCGGCGTCTGGCTCCCCGGAGCCGGCAGCTACGTAGTCCTCCTCCAGAATGGGCTCCCGGTCTGGAGTGCTGGCGGGGTGTGGGAGCTCGTGCTGCAGGCCGTGCGCGCACGTGGGCGCGGGCGACGAGGCGCACGCGGAGGCGGGCGGGGATTCGGACGTAAATGCGGGAGCGGAAGCACTCGTGGGCGCAGGTATGGGCGAGCACGCGGAGGGGGGCGTAGACTCGGACGTAAACGCCGGCGTGGACGCGCACGCGGCGTCCTGGGCGCGCAGCTCGTAGGCGGCGCGCAGGCGGCGCACGGAGACGCCGCACTCGAGGATCTCGCGCGCCACGGCCTCGCGGCACCAGCTGAGCGCGTGCGAGCGGCCCAGGCACAGCGGCCCGGGTCTGGAGGGCGCGTCGGGCAGCGGCGGCAGCGGCTGGCCGGTGTCAGCGGCCAGCAGTTCGGCCAGGTGCGCGGGCTGGCCGCCCAGCGTGGCCAGCAGCGTGGCCATGCTCTTGAGCAGCGCGGAGATCTTGCTGCACCAGGCGGGCAGGCTGGCGGCGCGGCCGTGCATGCGGCGCGGGTCGACCGTGAAGCGCGGCGCGGCCAGCGCGGCCGAGATGGGGAGCAGCTGCTCCAGCTCCAGCTCCAGCTGCTCCAGGCGCGCCTCCAGCCTCTGCGCCTTGTGCAGCACCTGGAGGTTCTCGATTTGCTGCTCGATGCGGAGGACGTCGGCCTCGGTCATGAGCTCGCCGAAGGGCCCGAGGATGGCGTTGTACTCGTGAGAGTACCTCCAGCCCTCTGGCGGGTAGCAGCACGCGCTGGCGGCTGTCAGCTATGGCGGGGGAGACAAGAGAGGGGAGGGAGGCGCGTCTCCTTCTGGCCCCGCTCCCGCCGCAGCGGGGGCTCCTTTTGCATGTCCCGGGTGGTGTAATGGCTCCGCGGGGCTGGTTGGCGGGCACCGGCCCCGTGCCTGGCCGGCGGCGGGCTTCGGCTCCGGGCGGTGTTCGCTTTGGTCGCCGGTAGGGGGCAGTGCTGGTTGCTGGCGCCGCTGCAGGGCGGGCAGGCCGCCAGGTGTGGGGGTCTCCAGGCCTGGCTCCGTGGCTCATTACACCACCCAAGGAACATGCGAAAGGCGTTGAAGCTGACCACTATCCAGGGCCGACGGTTTCCTGACCAGAACCCCAGGGAGCTACCCCAGGCAACCTGACGGCCAACCCTTCCTCAGGCTCCCTGGGGCTCAAGCCCTGCTTGTCTCAGTGGTCAGTGTTTTACCTCTGTGGACAGGTCAAGCCACTCTTTATTTATGTGTTTGTTTTTGCCCGTCCTGGGGCTTGAACTCAGGGCCTGGGCTCTGTTCCTGAGCTGCTTTTGCTCAAGGCTAGCGCTCTACCTCTTGAGCCACAGCACTACTTCAGCTTTTTCTGTTTATGTGGTGCTGAGGAATCGAACCCAGGGCTTCATGCATGCTAGGCAAGCACTCTACCATTAAGCTACATTCCCAGCCTCCTCTTTTTAAGTTTTTTATATGTGTGGGCCAGTCCCAGGGCTTGAATTCAGGGCATGCATGGTGCTGTCCCTGAGCTTTTTTGCTCAAGGTAGGTGCTCTACCACTTGAGCCACAGCTCCAACTTCTGGCATTTTTTGCTGGTTAACTGGAGATAAGAGTCGCATGGACTTTCCTGGCATGGCTGTCTTTGAACCACAATCCTCAGATCTCAGTCTCCTGAGTAGTTAGGATTCCAGGAGTGAGCCACCGTCCCTGGCTTCCTTTGGATATTTATAATGTAACTTCCATGCCATACATAATTATCACTACAGGCTGCTGTGGACAGTTGATAAGTACATGAGTCTGTCTCATCCCATACCTAATGATAGGGTCTTGTATGGCCCAAGGGCCAGACATTGCACACCCCTGACACCCGCTGCAGTTATAAAGACCTCACATCTCCATTTAACTGTCCCGGGCTCTCCATTTTCCAGCAAAACAGCCATTCTTTTTTTTTTTTTCCCCGGTTGTGGGGCTTGAACTCTGGGCCTGGAGGCTGTCCTGAGCTCTTCAGCTCAAAGCTAGCGCTCTACCAGGTGAGCCACAGTACCGCTTCTGGTTTTCTGGTGGCTTATTGGAGATTAAGAGTCTCACGGACTTTCTTGCTGGGCTGGCTTTGAACTGAGATCCTCACATCTCAGCCTCCTGAGTAGCTAGGATGACAGGTGTGAGCTACTAGCACCTGACTTAAAACATCCATTCTCATCCAGGTGGTTGGCCAGGCCTTGCTAACCTGACTGCCACTGACCTCTCCAGTTCAGTCCCCTAGAGTATGGTCCTAGAGCTACATACCCTCTGATTCAAGATCACCCCCATCTCGACAGCCTTCTCTTCACTCCACATGTCCCCTAGCCACCTCCTGCTCCTCTTCCAAGACTTAATTTTTTGAGGTGTGAGGGGGGGAAATCTAGGGCTTGAACTCAGGACCTGGGTACTGTCCCTTAGTTTTTTCACTCATGATTGGTGCTCTACTGATTGCGCCACAGCTCCACTTCTGGCCTTTTGGTGGTTAACTGCTTAGACATCCCTGCCTGGGCTGGCTTTGAACCACAATCCTCAGATCTCAGCCTCCTGTGTAGCTAGGACTGGAGGCATGAGGCACCAGTGCCCAACAAGATGTTACTACTTACTGTCTTATCTTTCCCCAGCCCAAACAGGGCAGCTGATTCAGAGCCCTGGACCCCTATGGTTATGGTCACAGCACCCAGTGTGAGCAACAAAGCACAGTTATTTGTCTTTCCAGAGATCACTTTCACATCCCTCCCCAGTTTTTCTCCTAGTTGAAACACCACCTCCCTCCTCTTCACAGCTACTTTGAGAACCGGCCTTGATATATTCACTATGAATACCTGGAAAACACAACGTGTGTGTGTGTGTGTGTGTGTGTGTGTGTAGTATGCACGGTGTGTATAGAGGAGGGGGGGCTAGGGAACACTTAATTGGAAAAATGAGTAGCATGAACTAGTGTTGACCAGCCCATCTTACAGATGTGGAAACCAAGGCTGGACAGGGCTCAAAACCCATAGCAGTCAGGGGCAATATGCAGACAGAGCCGAGTCAGTCTAGCTAAGATCACCCTGGACAACCACTGTCATCATCAGCCCCACCCAGGGCTTTGAAACAAGGAATCTGCCCAACTCCATCCTGAATCATGAATCAGAATAGGATTTTTTTAAAAAATCTTTTTGTGCCAGTATGGTACTGGGGCTTGAACTCAGGGCCTAAGTCCTCTTCCTTAGCTTTTTTTTTTTTTTTTTTTTGCTCCAGCCTGGTGTTCTACCACTTGAGCCAAACCCCAGACTGGATTCCAACTTATGCCCTCAGATCTCAGCCTCCTAAGTACCTAGGATTACAGGTGCCAGGCTGGGGCATTTTAACAAGGTCCCAGGTGAGCTCAGAGCGCATTAGAGTTTGGTAAACAGGAACATCTCCCGAGGGCGGGCTGCTGCGACCAGTCCCCAGCAGGGATCCAGCAACCCCAACCGTCCTCCAAAGGCAGGAGGGTGAAGGGCCGGGCGGCTGAGAGCTTTGGGCTCCATGCAGACCCCGGGGCTTTACGGGAAGCCCAGCAGGCACCCACCTTCCGCCTCTGCTCCTCCTCTTCCTGCATCTTCAGCTGCAGCTTCCGAACCATCACCTGGCGCTTCCACTCGGGGATGGGCCGGCCCTGCTCGTCGTGGGTGGGGATGAGCGCCTCCACGTCCAGTTGCACACCCGGCGCAGGAGTGGCCGGCGGGGCCGGCACCAAGCTGCCGTTGAGCACCGGTTGGGACCCCGCAAACGGCGGGGTGGGGCTCCTGGGCCGAGACGGCGTGGGAGACACCGGCAGCTGCGGTGAGTCGGGCTGCGGGAGGGCACAGCGGCCGTGCTGAGCACAGGGCCCGCCAGGGGCACTGGGGAGCCCTGCCGGCCCGGCGCCTACCTGGGAGGCTGGCTGCCCGCTGCCGGAGAACACTGTGGTCAGCCCCTTGCTCTGCGGGGTGGGCTTGAGGCTCTTGCCTGCCTTGATCTCAGCCAGCAGCTCTGAGTTGTCACCCGTTGGGGACATCATGTTGAAAGACTTGGTGCCTGCCCGCAGAAGAGGCGCTGGTTGGGGGCCGGATGGCATTGCTACCCCCCCCCACATGCCCCTTGACACCCCCTTCCCCAGATGCCCCTCTAAGCCGGGAAAGGTGGAGCCCTTTGGAGCCCCAAGGCAGGTCCTTGGATCTCAGGGTCCCCAGGGTCCCCCAGCTCCTGTCCATGGCAGCCCCTCCCCCCCTTACTCACTGGGTGGAAAGACCCGGCCTGGAGGCCTTTGGGAGCTCATGATGGCTCTGGGGCTGGCCCTGGAGACTCTGGCATAGGTCTCCGCCCAGCCACCGACTGCGGGCTCCAAAACACTACCCCGGGCCAAGCACTTGACCTTTGTCCCCGGTTCCCTTGCCCGGCCCCACCAGGGTGGAGTCTTCTTCTGGCCCTCTCCCCGCCTCAGCAAAGCCCAGTGACCCTTGGACTGAGCACGGGCGATCCTCTGAGGTCATAGATTCAGGACCCTGGCATTTTGGCACCCATCTGAACCCCCTCCACTCCCCCCCTCCAGACAGACGAGCAGGCACACTGATTGCAAGCGGGGGAGCACACTGATGGCGAAGCACAGCTCAGCTCTGAGGGACCCGGGAAGGAGGTGCTTCCTGAGGACAGCACACAGGAAGGAAGGTCAGGCAGGTGCGCATGCAAATAGCTGGGCATAGTTTGCATCTCCCCCCCCCCCCAAAAGCTGGCGGGCAGAGGTGAATGGGAGGGCTGTCTTTGGAACCCTGAAGAAGGGGTCAGGTCTGGAGGAAAAGCACAACATGGGCCAAAAGCACTTGGACATCAGGGCTGGCAATCCAGAGCATACCACAAAAAGAGGGGGCAACCGTGTGGCTGGCAAGATCCTCCACCAAGCACAGGGTGCTTAGGGGCACGTGCATGGGTGTGGTGGGAGAGAGGGACAGAAGTGGAGGGGGGACTGCTCCGGAGCATTAGATCCCCTGGCTCTGGCCCCGGCCTTCCCTTTCCTCAAGTCCCTGGCCCCCTCTGCGGTTTGCCCTGGGCAAGCCTTCTCCCGCACCCAGCGCCTTAGCCTCAGCTGGGAGCCTTGGCGAGCAGCTACTCACTCTTCCTGTTCCTCAGGACTCTTACTTCTAGGAACCGAGAGGAGAGAAGTGACAGAAAAGTTATAAGAGGGAGAGGGGCTGGGGGGGGGGGGAGACAGGGACAGCTTGGGAGGGCAGAAGGGGGGAGAGCAGAGGAGGAGTTTTCCTGTTCTTGTGCCGCTGGCACTGCCTGCTCTAGGGCCCCCACAGGGGTGGTCCCGCCAGCTCCCCGCAGGCTGCACAGGGGCATCTTGGCATTGGGGCTACTAGGGCACCCAGCCCAGCCTCTTCTGGGAAGGGCTATCTGTTTCCTTTCTTTTCCTAGGGTGGACCTGCTGTAAAGGAAAGAGAAAGGACAACTGATTTTAGAGCTAGGGCTCTGGCTCCATAAGGACCACTTTCCTAGTCAGACAGATGAAGCTTGGCGCGGAGCTCTGAGCATGCTCCCTGTGTTGAGGGACTGGTGAGGAAGGCACCTCTGTGGGCTGGGAGGGGGCACTGGTACCGTCCGAGACCTAGAGGGCAGGACAGTCCACTGTCCCACAGACCACAGCAGAAGCACTTGAGAATCCTGGTCACCAGTTTTGCTCTTAAAAAAAAAAATATCCAAGCTGGGCGCTGGTGGCTCACCCTGTATCCTAGCTATTCCAGAGGCTGAGATCTGAGGATCATGGTTGGTTCAAAGCCAGCCTGGGCAGGGAAGTCCGTGAGACTCTTATTTCCAATAAACCACTCAGAAAACCAGAAGTGGCACTGTGGCTCAAGTGTAGAGTGCTCGCCTTGAGCTGAAGAGTGCAGGGACAGTGCCCAAGCCCAGAGTTCAAGCCCCACAACCGACAAAAAATAAAAAATCCAGGGCTGGGAGGGTGGCTCAGTGGTAGAGTGCTTGCCTTGCATGCATGAGGTCCTGAGTTCAATTCCTCAGCACCATATAAGCAGAAAAAGCTGGAAGTGGCACTGTGGCTCAAGTAGTAGAGTGCTAGCCTTGAGCTGAAGAGCTGAGGGACAGCACCCAGGCCCAGAGTTCAGGCCCACAACTGGACCCCCCCAAAAAGAATTTTTTTAAAAATCCAGCTGTACTACACAAAAGGATGGAAATGTATTTATTACCTGATGAATGTAAAGGTAACCCTGCTGTATATCACCTCTAATACAGCAATAAAGTAATAAAAAAAAATATCCAGGTGGGGCTCCAATGGTTCACGCCTGTAATCGGAGCTACTCGGGGAGGCTGGGATGTGAGGATCGAGATTCCTGCCAGCATAGGCAGGAGAGTCATGAGTGCCAACCTTGAGCAAAAAAATATAAAAAGCTCAGAGGCTTCGCCCGGGCTCTGAGTTCAAGCTCTAGTATTGGCAAAATAAAAATAATAAAAATCCAGGGTCAGGGTGTAGCTCAGTACTAGTGTGTGCTTAGCATGTTTCAGGTTCCAAACCAGCCCCCTTCTCCCCCCCAAAAAAGACACCCAGGGAGTTGTGGTGAGGCCAGAGGCTCACCAGCGCGACCCCGGCGAGGCCAGGGACCCTGGCTGTGCTGTCTGAGGGCTCCTGCCGGCGCTAGCATGGAGAAGCAGCGGAAGAAACGAGGAGAGGGAGAGGAACTGAGCACAGAGGAGGGCAGGAAGGCTCACCAGGGGTCCTGCCTTCAAAAATTTGGTTCCACTCAGCTTTCCCCCGGGGGACCCCCACGCCGCTGGAGCTGGGACCCTCTCTAACCTACAGGAGAAGGCCCAAAGAGGGGAGTGGACTTGCCCAGGGCCACTGCAGTCCAGTCCTGCTCTGGCAGAAAATAAGGCAACCCCAGGCCAGCCCTTAAGGGTCCAGTAGGGGTAAGGGGCTGGCAGGAGGAGCGCGGAGGAGGGGGGGGGGTGAGCACTCAGAGCTGGGGAGGGGGCGGTGTCAGGGCTCCCCTCCCACTTAGCGGCCGGCGCCGCCCCCACCCTCCTCCCGCCCCTACTCACTGCCTGTGGACGAGGAGGAGCGGCGCTGCCCGCCGCCGGGGCCCGCGCCCTCGAGGGGCAGAGGCGGGGCGGGCGGCGGCGAGCTCCCCGCCTCGGGCAGGGGCGGCGGCGGCGGCGGTGGCGGGGGCAGGTCCCAGGTGGCCTTGGGGTCCGCGGCGCAGCCGTTCTGCACGTAGTTCCCGGGGAGCAGCGCGGCCTGCGGGGGAGCGGAGGGGCCGGCGGGTGAGGCGCGCGCCTCGGGCCGGGGCCCCGGGCGGCCGGCGGGGGCCGGCGGGCGCGCACGCACCTCCTCGCTGTGCGCCATGCCCCGGCGCGCGTCCGGCGGCTCCCCGGCGCAGCGGCCCAGCTGGCGGTAGTAGTCCCCGGTGCTGGGCTGCTTGCTGAGGGCGTGGGGCTGGCGGCCGGAGTCCTGCCTCCGCAGCCCGTTGTGGCGATCGCGATCGCGGGAGCTCGGCTGCGGGAAGACGGCGACCCTGGGCTCCGGCGCTGGTCCCGATCGCGCGCCCCCCTCCCTCGCTGGGGAACCGGGCGGGGCCGGCGGCCGTCGAGCGGGGCGGCCCGCCAGGACGCGAGGCGGCGCGCGGCGCGGGGCGGGATGGGGCGAGGGTCCCGGGGCCGCGTGGAGGGGCCAGCGCGGCCCACGCTGCAGGGAGGGGCTCTGGGCGCCGGCCAAGGGCCCCGGGCCCCGCTGAGGCCAGAAGGGGCGGACCGAGGGGCGGAGTGGCCAATCCGGACGCCAGGGGGAGCCGCAGACCCGGCCGGCGGCTCCCACCGAGGCCGGCCCGCCGGCTCGCGCCGCACCCCGCTCCCCGCGCGGGACCCACGCACGTCCCTCCGGGGGGGGGGGTGTCTCGGGCCCAGGGCCGCCCCGTCGAGGACCCAGCCCTGGCAGGCTCCGACTCTGCCCAGAGCCCGAGGCCGCCGGGCCCGGGGCTGCTCCTACCTGCGGCTGTGCCGGCGGCCCCCGCAGTGCACCTGGCGCGGGGGCGGCCCGGACCCGACACCTGCGTTACCAGATCCGCGGGCTCGGGTTACCGCCGGCCCGCGCGCCGCCCGCCTATGAGCTCCGCCGGCCTGACATCACCCGGCGCCCGCCAATCCCGGGCGGACCCCCCCCCCCCCCCCCCCCCCCCCCGCTCCGGCCCGGCCCGGGATGCTACAGGGGCGCAACGGCTCCGCCACACCTGGCTGGGACTGCGCCTGCCCCCGCCCCCGGCCAGGTGTGGCCACGCCCCCCGCCCGGCCCCGAGCACCCCGACCTCCGCGCCCTCCCCCGCCCTCGTTCTTGGAGAACCGACGCGGCCCTGACCTCTCCTCTTGGTCCCCACTCCCGGGTTCCGGGTCACGCCCCCGCCATTCCCTCCCGCATCTGGAAACCCTCGCCGCCGTCCGAGTAAGCGACACCACACCCGCGCCCAGGCCTCGGGTTTCAGGGGCGGCCGGGAGGGCTCGGGTGACAGAGCCGCGGCCGCCCCCCGCCGAGCCCGGCGCGCGCGCGGGGAGGGGCGGCCCGGGCAGAGTGGCCAGGCCGGGGGGCTGCAGTCCCCGCGTCCCCGCGGTGGCCTGGGACCCCCCCCCTCCGCACCCCGCTGACCAGGCTCACGTTGCAAGGAAACGCGACACGCTGGATTTGTTTTCTGGGGCAGGCGGCCCCCTCAGTACCCCGGAGCGCGGGCCCCACGACCCTGCTTCCTCCCGCAGCTCGGGCGCCCGCGTGGGGGGCGCAGCGGGCACACAAAGGGCCCTTTGTGGATGGCGCCTGCAGCTCGGCACGCACGCACTCCCTGAGGGGCGCCGGGGATCACAAGGATCTGGGCGTTTGGGCTCAGGGGTGAGCGCTGGCTTGGAGTGTCTGTCCCACGGCTTGGCCAGGGCCCATTCGCCAGGCCCGACGGGGAAAGTGGGCTGGTCCCAGGCCTCTGCAGCCCGCCCCCCCCCCCCCCACACACACACCTTTGGTCCAGAGATCAAAAGGGAATCGACTCTGGGATGGCAGGAAGTGGGCGAGCGCGCAGTCCCAGGGAGGCCGCCCAGTCCCGGGCCTCCTCCACCCAGTGGTCTGGTGACCTGTGGTCTGGCTCACCTGTGCAAATAGTACTGAGCTCCACCCCGACGAGGCCTGCCTGCGGCTGGGACTCTGGGGAGCCTGAGGGGTCAACACCCCATCCCTGGCCACCTGTGGTCTCGGGTTGTTCCCAGGCCAGCCTTAGTCCATCTCTTTGGGCCAATACATAGGACCCTCTCGACTTCCCATCCAGACTCCAGGAGCTGTCCGCCCCTCTCTTGCCCCCGAGGCTCTGCCAGCAGACCCTGGGTCCTCCTGCGCCCCACAAATCACCTGCACCCCTAGCTTGCACCCTTCCCGTTTGCTTCTCCCCACTGACTCCTCCACCCCCCAGAGCTCAGGCTGCAAGTGGGAGTGGCCTCAGCTTCTCCTCTGTCAGCAGTCCTGGCCACTGGGTGCTGGGTCCTGGTAGCATTCGTCCAGCTCCCTCGCCTCTCCCCCTAGCCCTCACTGGCAGGCCTTGCCAGGGGCATCTCCTATCTGGAAGACACATCCACCTGAGCCCACGGCTGTGGGCATGGGCGTGTCTGCAAGTCAGTCCACATTCATTCTGTCAATTCTGAGACAGCCCTGCACTCAACAGGCAGCACGTGCCAGCCCCCAGCTGCAGGCAGTGGCTTTGTCTTAGCCCCTTGAACTCAGGGTACAACCCTGAGCCTTCATGGGTCTGGGACCAGGACTTTCAACTCACTGAGTATGCCCTGGGTCCAGGGGCCGCCACCTGTGACCAGGATTCAGCCAGAAAAGCTTCCCTCCACCCACACACACATCAGCATAGTCCCACAGCTGGGAGGCAGGTCACTACCTCCTTCTTAAAGGTGTCCTTCTCCACGTGGCGGAGCTTGTTCTTGGTCTGCAGGTAGATGTCAGCTGCCAGCACCCCAGAAGGAGGCTTCGGAGCTGGGTAGCCTGGTGGTGGTGGGGGCATCTCAGAGCCCAGGGTTGGGGACGGCTGAGAGAACATGGGTGGAAATGGTTTCTTGCCCTGAGGCAGGCCCAGCTCCGGGTTCAACAGGTCCATGTAGCTCTGTATGTCTGTAGCCCTTGCACCCGGAAGCACTGGGGAAGCAGAGGGAAGACTGGATTTAGGAGTTTGCAGAGCCAGGCTTGGCTCATACTTGTAATCCTGACTACTCAGGAGGCTGAGATCTAAGGATCATGGTTGGAAGCCAGCCCAGTTAGAAAAATATCTGTGAGATGGGCTGGGAAGGTGGCTTAGTGGTAGAGTGCTTGCCTTGCATACATGAGGACCTGGGTTCAATTCCTCAGCACCACATAAGCAAAAAGAAAAAAGCTGGAAGTGGCGCTGTGGCTCAAGTGGTAGAACACTAGCCTTGAGCTGAAGAGCTGAGGGACAGTGCCCAGGCCCAGAGTTCAGGCCCCATGACCGGACCCCCCCCCCCAAAAAAAAAAAGAAAAAATCTGTGAGACTCATTTTCAGTTAACCCTCAAGAAGCCAGAAGTGGCACTGTGGCTCAAGTAGAGAGGCCAGCCTTGAGCTCAGGGACAGTGCCCAGGCCTTGGTACTAGAACCAAAGTAAAGTCCCCCACAACTAAGAATTCACACTATCTGGGGGCAAACTGGAAGGCAAAGCAGGCTCAGGACCCATACTTAGTATGGCCCGCTGTGGCCTCTGGCAGTGCTGGACAGCCCAATATTTATTGCAACCCTATATTTATTCCAGTGTGCGTCTGTTGGATGGAGAGGGGGCGGCCCTTCAGGGCAGATCTAGCAGAGCAGGTGGCAGGAGTCTGAATGGGCACACCCAACTTTGGCAATGCTCTTGGCCAGCTCTCTGCAGGCCTGCCACCTGGTGGCAGGAGGCAGACATTGCAGTGGATGGACACCTAGGCTCAGGGTGTGGTCTCAGTGTGTGTACACGCGTTGGTTGCTTTCTGAAGGTTTTGTGGATTTGTGTATTTTAACCTGTCACATTTGCTCATGATTCTCCATATTATGTGAATATGTGTGCACCAATCTGTGGACATGGGGTGTGTGTGCATGTCTGAAGTAGGGAAGCAGAAAGCTTTGTGCCTGTGTGTGATGTAGTAGACGTGTGCATAAATCGGCACAAGTCTGTTCGTGTGCCTTGCAGTCCTATGCACACTGTATGTGCACATGCTGAAGTGTGCACTACTGGATGTGACTAGGTGAGAAAAATGAATACTGTTCAGGGTGCATGTGGGTTTTGTGGGGCAGGGTATATATAAGAAGCTATGTATATATGTGTAGAATGCACATGAACAAGCCCCCTCCCTGTGTTTAAGGGCAGGATTCAGGAAGGAAGGCCTGGCGGACTGGTTCCCTCCTCTCTTCCCATCTGGCCCACTCACCTCGGGGAGGGCGTCGGTCCTTGATGCTGGAATGGGTGGACGAGCAGGAGTCATAGTTGGAGAGTGTGCTGGTGGGCGAGCTGAGGTCGAAGTTTGTTGGCTGGACTGACATGGTGGTGTTGGGCGAAGACATGCCAGAGTCAGGCTGCCTTGCCTCCAGCTCTGTGGATGGATCGCGGGACAGCACACGGTGCTCCACGCTCTGAAGGGGAGTCAGAGGAGCCGTGAGGGCCACCAGGCAGCCCACAGACCAGCGCCTACCCGACGAAGGTCCTGCCCAGACCGTGCGCTCACTGGGTGAGCTCAGCTCAGCCATTTCCCTCTCACATCCTTTTCCTATCGGAGAGCTGCAGGGTCTTCTCAGAAGCCTTGAGCCCAGCTTCCCCAAGCCACAGAACCTGAAGTCTCAGGAGACCTCTCTCAGACCCCTCCCTGCTCAGGTAGGTTGAGAAAGGGTGCTAGGCTGAACCTCCAAAGTGAAAACAGCTAGACACCAGGCTCTTCTTCCCTATCAGTAGGCAGAAGGCCTCTGCTCCAGTGCTTCTGTGGGCAGAAGGCTCAGGGGCTGCAGTGGGTTAGGGAAGAGGCCAGGAAGACTCAGCCCCGATTGCCTAGTTGAAAGCCTTTCCACCCCCACCAGCCCTGAATCTGCCAATTCCCAACACTAGAACATGGTCCGATTGTGTTCCGGTAGGCCCCTAGGAAAAGGGTGTGGCCAGAGTGGTCTAGCTGAGCTGCGATGGGCAGTACCCCCTTCCAATCAGTCTGCCTAGCCTGTCACCCTCCCTCCCCCTACGACTCTGACCCCCTCCTCTGGCTGGGAGCAGGCTGGGGCAGGGGCTCTGCTTACATTGCCCATGTTGTCCCCGTCGCCGGTGAGCCTGCTTGCTCCGCTGCCTCCTGCCCAGATTTGACTCCTCCCTGCCCCATGCCCCTCCCTGCCTGAGAAGTGTCACAGGCCCCTCGGGAGAGGGAGGCAGCCTGGTACCAGGTAACGGCTCTCGGGCGGCCACGCTCATTGGCCCTGTAATTAGGGGCTCTTCGGGAGTGTTTGCCTTTTCTGGGCCAGCATCCTTGGTGGCTTGGATCTGTCATTGCTGCAGCTGGGCCTTGCTTGGGTGAGGGGACCAGCTGCCCTCGACTACCCCACCTAGTTCAGGCCCTGCTGCCCACTCCATGAGCCCAGGGGGAGCCTCAGCACATGACTTGGGGACAGGCTGAAGGCTCTTTTCTTGGCCAACACTGCTGGGCACTGAGGGCATCCAGCCTTGTCCTCTTGGGTGACAGATGACAGAGACTGGGACATAGGAGCTCCAGTCTGGGACAAGGGCTTCAAATGTCCTCTTGCCCACTTACTTAGCTGTGTGACCTTCAACACTTGGCCTGCCCACTCTGTGGATGAATAACTGTGCTCCTTGCCCCATGAGTGTCAAAAACCGACAATAATAATTTAAAAGTGAGTGCCACCCATGGTACCCAGGAGAGTATTAATTTTATGGTAAAGATGACGTCACATTTGGAAGTGGTATCTGGCAGTCTGATGTATGGTGCTGGCACTGTATGATGGCCAGCAGTGGCAGCCTGGTAGGCTCTAGAAGGTGCTGGAAGGCCCTGGGCTCTGATCCACCTCTTGCAGCCACAGCACTGATACAGATTCTCTAAGCTGGAAGGAAGCCATCTTGGGTGCAAGGAAGAGTTTTTATAACTTCCACTGGGTTTAACACGCAGTGACTGGGTGCTCACTACCTGTGGACCACTAACATTCTGGGGGAAACCCTTTTGGGGAGAAAGTCCATCCTCTGATCTGTCTGCAGCCTCTGACCTCAGGACTTGCAGAACCCAGAACACATCCCCATGTGTTGGCTGGGGCTAGAGGCCATCTTCCAACTACCCTCCAGGCCTCACTTAGAAGCATGTCCCAAGGGGCTGGGAAGGTGGCTCAGTGGTAGAGCGCTTGCCTTGCATGCATAAGACCCTGGGTTCGATTCCTCAGCACCACATAAGCAAAAAAGAAAAAAGCCAGAAGTGGCACTGTGGCTCAAGTGGTAGAGTGCTAGCCTTGAGCTGAAGAGCTGAGGGACAGCACCCAGGCCCAGAGTTCAGGCTCCATGACTGACCCTCCCCCTCCCCCCCAAAAAGAATATTTTGGGCTGGGAAGGTGGCTCAGTGGTAGAGCGCTTGCCTTGCATGCATGAGGCCCTGGGTTTGATTCCTCAGCACCACATAAGCAGAAAATGCCAGAAGTGGCGCTGTGGCTCAAGTGGTAGAGCACTAGCCTTGAGCTGAAGAATTGAGGGACAGTGCCCAGGCCCAGAGTTCAGGCCCCACAATGGGGGGAGGGGGGGAGGAGAAGCGTGTCCCATGGCCAGGAGATATGCCTTGGAGCTGGTCAGCGTCTAAGGTCCATTCTCTTCCTCCTCTACTGCCTAAAGCAGGTGTTCCACCAGGTGGGGTGGAGCCCTGGATTCAGTGGCACCCACATCTTCACACCCCACTCCAAGGCCCTGTGCATCCCTTCACAGCTGAGTAACCATGATACAATAATTGACAAGAGTCACATGAGTTTCCAGCTATGAAGTAAGCAAATGTGTGGTGTAGTGGTTAAAAGGGAGTTCACACTAAGCAATTTGATGCACATCACATCTCTAATACTAGCCACTTGGGAGGTTGGAGCGGAAGGATTACAAATTCAAGTCAGCTCTGGACAACTTATCAAGATCCTGTCTCAAGTTTTTTTTTTTTAAGTAGGGGAAGCTGGAGGCACACTTCAGTGGTAGAGTACTGGCTTAGCACTTTTTTGTCCATTGTGGGACTTACACTTCTGTTTTTCTCAGTCATGAGCTTGAAGTCAGGGCCTGGGTGCTGTCCTTGAGCTCTTTTACGCAAGGCTATATCTCTATCACTTTGAGCCACAATGCCACTTCCAGTTTTTTGGCAGTTAATTGGAGATAAGAGTCTCATGGACTTTCCTGTCCAGGCTGGTTTTGAACAGTGATCCTCAGATCTCAGCCTCTTGAGTAGGATTATAGGCATGAGCTACCAGCACTCAGCTAGCCTAGCAGTCTTGATCCTAGATTCAGCTTTGTGTGTGTGTGTGTGTGTGTGTGTGTGCTGCATGCACTCCTTGTTGGCCCAGACTGCTAGGTTCTGCCATTTCCTGTCCAGGTGACCTTGGGTCACCCATAGAGTTAGTTTACCCATCTGTGAAACCGCGACACTAGGACTCCCTGCCTCAGAGGGTGGAGATGGCCATTAAATCAGCTAAAACACATGGGCAGGTGAAGGAACTGGGCCGGATCCCACAGCCTGTGTCTCTCGACTTCTCCCAGACTTACATCTTGTCAGGAACACTCTGGCCCTCCATGTTCCCCTTCCCCGAAATCCAGAGGCAAGCCCAAGGGCAGTGGCTCTCGCCTGTAATCCTCTGAGGATCGCGGTTCAGAGCCAGCTCGGGCAGGAACTGGAGGGAGCTCAGTTCCTGCCGGGAAGTGGTCAGGGGCACTTACCGTGTGTCACTTGGGCGAGGGCGCTGCCGTTCTGAACCAGTTTCCTTCTTGGTAAAAGGGTAAGACTCGGGTCTGGGGTGAGATGAGATCTGATAACAGAGGGCCTGCGCAGGGTCATACCATGTTCTCCACGGTGCGCAGGTAGCGGGTGCAGTGGCTGTGGCCGTTGTAGTCCGACAGGTCTGCGGCTGTGTACCCGTCACGGTCGCGGACGTCCAGCTCTGCGCCATTCACCACGAGTATCTGGCAGCACTGCCGGAGCATGCGGTGGGGACCCCTCTGTGAGCTGGGTCCCCACGTTCCGCGGGGGGCAGTGGGCAGCGGCCAGCAGCGGGCACCGTGACCCTCCCTGTGCCCCGCCCCTCCACCCAGACCGTTTCTGTTCCCTAGCCCCGCCCATCACCACCTTGGGCCACGCCCCTCTAGTTCTCTTCCATCTCGGCCCGCCCTGTCCCGAGGCCCCGCCCATTCCACCTTGGGCCACGCCCCTCTCTCATCACATGCCCTCCGTCCCTAGGCCACGCCCCAAGCATCGGACACGCCCCCGCAGAACCCTTCCCTTCCACCCAGCCTTCCTTGTCCCTAGGCCCCGCCCCTCAGGCTCCCCTCTCCTATCTAGGCCCAACCTGTCCCTAGGCCCCGCCCCCCAGGCGCTTCTCTTCTATCTCATCCCTCCCTGCCGCTAGGCCCCGCCTCACCACATGGCCCCGCCCCCCGAGCACCTGGGGGGGGGGGTGCCCTGACCTCGAGCTCCCCATTCTCCGCAGCGTCGTGCAGAGGGGTCCCGCCCCACAGGTCAGCCGAGATCTCGCCGCCGTGCAGCAGGAGCCAGCTGAGCACTTTGGCGTGGCCGCGGCTGGCTGCGAAGTGCATGGCAGTGGCGCCATCCTTGTCCTGCTCTGACAGGCTCACGTCGGCGCAGCTCACCTAGGTAGGGAAGGGCGTGGAGAAGGGCTCTGGCCAGACCCCGCCGGGCCCGTGCCGGCCCCGCCCCCGGGGCTGCCCTGACCCCCGCCCTCGCTCACCAGCCACACGATGACCGGGCAGTGGCCCATCTGCGCAGCGGCGTGCAGCGGGCTCATGCCGTCGTAGGCACACAGGTGCGGGTCGGCGCCGCACTCCTGCACCAGGTACTGCGTCACCTCCAGGTGGCCCTCCTGGCACGCCAGGTACAGGGGCGTGGCACCGTTCTTGGTTTGGGCATTCACTCCGCTGCGAATATGCGACACCATCAGGAGAGCCCTAGCTGCCTGCCGCCATGCAGAGCCACCTCACACCTTCTGTGTCAATTCGGGGAGTACTGGAGCTGTTCTCCTCACTGGCCTTCCTTGACTCCCTCTGGGTTTAGTTCTGTGCCACCCTCTCTCAGGGGACCCCTCTGATAGCCCTGTCCCACTGTCTGCCTGCGTGGGTGTGGATGTGCATGTGTGCCTGGACTGGGGCTTGAACTCAGGGCCTAGACACTGACCTTTAGTGCCCCCCCTGCCGCCGATGCTCTACCACTTGAACCACAGCTCTACTTATAGCTTTTTGGTGGTTAACTGGGGATAAAAGCCCCAGACTTTCAGGCCTGGGCTGGCTTTGTACCTTGATCCTCAAATCTCAGCCTCCTGAGTAGCTAGGATTACAGCCACTGTCACCTGGCTTAATTCTGAATTTCAGACAAACATCAAATCAAGTTTCAGGAGAGGCCCCACGTTGCCTGAGACATACTTGTGCCATGTCAAGGTTACCTGAACATCCTGGGTTTTATCATTGTTCTTGCTAATCTGGCAGCCTTATCAAGTGGCCTCAGGCACTGAGCACTTCCCTGGGTACTGTGGTACCAACACACAGGTTCTGCTTAAGGCCTCTTATCAGTCCCACTCTACAGAGGGGCAAGTAAGGGTAGTGACATGGAAACAAGTAGGATGCAGAGCCTGGCCTGCAGTAGGAGGAGCTAGGGAAGGGAAGGAACTTGTGGGGGTGGGGGTGGGTGCAAGTGGGAACTGTGCCTCAGGCCTGATGCTTCCCACATAGCCTGTGAAGCAGAGAACCAGCCCCATAGGTAGGAGGCTGCCAGGGGGGGACCTCAAAGCTGGCCTGGCCTCTAGGCTGATTGGCATAGACAGCCCAGCATGCAATTACCACAATGGACCACAAGGTGGAGCTGCGATCTAGCCCTGGTTCAAGGAGCTGCCCACCTCTCCAAGTCCAGGTAGGGAGGCTGCATCCTCAGTGCCCAAAACTCAACTCACATCCTCACCCTAGCTGCCTTCCCTACCCCCATACCTACCATACTCATCACCCTTCCCCCAGGCTCTGAGTCCAACTGCCCATCTGTATGCCATAAGTCCTCCTTCATCTGCCTATTCACCCACCCTCCCAGTACTTCACCAGGACTTAGACCTCCAACCCACCCATGCTCGCTTTCCCCTGTCCCCACACACAGTCCTCCCAGGAGACCTCTCCCTGTCCTGATGAGAGCCCATCTGTATCCCTGCTGGGCACCCACACAATCTCTGGTTTCTCCTTTCTCCTCAGGGTGGACAGTCCTCTCCGCCAACCCAGGGCTGCCATTTGCTCAGTTTGGTGCTCTCCAAGTCTGAGGGTAGCAAGCACCAAGCCTGGTTGTCTTTCAATATTCCACTCGTGTGAAGATCAGACTGGGAGCCAGGCACCAGTGCCTGACACCTGTAATTCTAGCTACTCAGGAGACTGATCTGACGTTGGAGGTTCAAAGCCAGCCCAGGCAAGAGAGTCCATGAGACTCTCATCTCCAATTAAACACCGAAATGCTGGAAGCAGAGCTATGACTCAAGTACAGCACCCAGCCTTGAGTGAAAAAGCTAAAGGAAAAATACCTAGCTCTGAATTCAAGGCCCAGTACAGATACCCAGAGAGAAAGGGGAGGGAGAGAGAGGGAGAGACAGAGACAGAGAGGCAGAGATGGAGACAGAGACAGAGAGAGACCGACAGAGAAAGGCAGACAAAGACAGAGAGAATGAGAGAGAGAGGGTACAGACTGAGTGTCTGGGTTGTACCTCAATCCGATAGCCTTGGCTAGCATATTCAAGGCCCTGCACAATAACAAAGGAGGATGGGTGGGTCATGCATCCTTCTGTAGATAGAAAACCCAGCCACCTGCCTCTCAGACACTGGCTGGCCCTGGGCCCCAGCCTCCAGGCCTGGGCCCCCATCGCCCCCACACATACCCAGGCTGGTGAGTCAGGAGCAGCCTGTTGAATATTTCATGACCAACACTCAGTGGCCTGAATTATTCACCCTGTAACCAAGGTACAGTGAGTCCTGGGGTCCTGGGGATGCAGGCTGGAGGGGCCAGTCCCAGGGCCCGTGGCTTCTCTCTGGGAGTGCCCAAGGCCAACCATGAGGACGGCCAGATACCTGTGGAGCCCTCCCCTCCCCGCCACGTGCCCAGCCAGCCTGGAAAGCAGCAACATCACAGCCCGCGGGGTGCCACTCGAGAAAGGTTCCCATTATGACTCGCGTCAGCCTTTGTACTCGCGACCCCTGTTTTGCAATCAAAGTCCCCTTCATGGGAAACACCAGGACATGAAGTGATCTGGGGGTGGGCTGTGGTGAGCAGCCAGGGGGTGGCAGCCTTGTTTTCTTCTCATTTGATTGAAGGCAAGAGGAAAGATGGCTCCCTGTCACTCACTGGTAATAGCGTGGCTTAACATAAGGGACAAAATACAGTTCCCATCCCTCAGGCCAAGCTGTGATGCACGTGACATATGCTTCTCTCACCAGTCCTCTAATAGTAGTGTGTGTGTGTGTGTGTGTGTGTGTGTGTGTGTGTGTGTGTGTGTGTGTGTATGTGTGTGTGTGTACCTGCTGGTCCTGGGGCTTGAACTCAGGGCCTGGGCACTGTCCCTGATCTTCTTTTGCTCAAGACTAGCACTCTACCACTTGTACCACAGTGCCACTTCTGGCTCTTTCTGTTTATGTGGTTCTGAGGAATTGAACCTAGGACTTCATGCATGCTAGACAAGCACTCAACCAGTAAACCACATTCCTAGCCCTGTGCCTTAGGTATTTTTGCTCAAGGCTAGTGCTCTACCTTTTAGCCACAGCTCCACTTCTGGCTTTTTGGTGGTTAACTGGAGATAAGAATCTCGCAGACTTTCCTGAACCCTACCTGGGCTGGCTTCAAACTTGATCCTCAGATCTCAGCCTCCTGAGCATCCAGGATTACAGACATGAGTCATGGGTACTAAGCTGCAGCGTGAAAGTTCCTGTCAGCCCCAGCCTCTTTCCTCTTAGGGCAAAATCATTATTATTCAGACTCTCTGTGGCCAAGCACTGTGACACACACTGGAAACAGGGAGGAAGCTGAAAGTGGGAAGGTGAGGGAGGGCCTGGCTTCTTCAGTGTTGCCACAAGCTGGTCCCCGGCTCCCCTCCCCTGCTCCCCCCCACACCGACTGCCCGCCTGTCCACAGGCCCCAAAGCCTCCCTGCCTCCAGCAGTCTATCCATCCTCACCTGACTGACTGATGGGTCCCTCCCTATCCATGCCTTCCCATTAAGCCCAGCTCCTTTGGCTTTTGTGCATACAGCAGGCTTCTCAAAAGTTACTTGCCTCAAACACACTCCCTCACATCTCTGCCACATAGTAAAAGACACCATGCTAACTTCCTTTGTGTGTGTGTGTGTGTGTGTGTGTGTGAGAGAGAGAGAGAGAGAGAGAGACACTGGCATGTGAACTCAATGACTCCCAGAGGCTCCACTTGCTTCATTAGCTGGTTCTCTACCACTTGAGCCACACTTCCAACCCTGCTTTTTGTTGGTTGTTTTGGAGATGGAGTTTTAAAGACTTTTTTTTGGGGGGGGGGGGGTCAGTGGTAGGGCCTGGACTCTGGGCCTGGGCGCTGTCCCTCAGCTCTTCAGCTCTACCATTGAGCCAGTGTCACTTCCAACTTTTTCTGCTTATGTGGTACTGAGGAATTGAACCCATGGCCTCATGTATGCAAGGCGAGCACTCTACCACTGAGCCACCTTCCCACCCAGACTTTTTTCTTTTTGTTGGTCGTAGGGCTTGATCTATGGACCTGGGCACTGTCTCTGAGCTCTTCAGCTCATGATGAGCTAGCCACTTGAGCCACAGCAAAGCTTCCTGTTTTCGCCAGGCGCCAGTGGCTCACGCCTGTAATCCTAGCTACTCAGGAGCCTGAAATCTGAGGATCACGGTTCAAAGCCAGCCCAGGCAAGAAAGTCCGTGAAACTCCTATCTTCATTAAACCACCAGAAAACCAGAAGTGGCGCTGTAGCTCAAGTGGTAGAAAGCTCGCCTTGAGCTGAAGAGCTGAGGGACAGCACCCAGGTCCAGAGTTCAAGCGCCACGACTGACAAAAAGCAAAAAACAAAAAACACCACCACCAACAACAACAAAAAACCTTCCTGTTTTCTGGTGGTTAATTGGAGATAAGAGTCTCATGGACTTTCTTTCCCCAGGCTGGTTTTGAACTGTGATCCTTACATCTCAGCCTCCTGAGTAGCTAGGATTATAGGCGTGAGCCACTGGTACCTGGCTTATAAAGACTTTTCTACCAGGGCTGTCTGTGAACTGTTACCCTCTAGGTCTCAAACCTTCTGAATAGCTAAGATGATAGGCCTCACCTCCTCGGTCCCAAACTCTGGACTCTTTGAAGACCCCACACTAAGCCATCCCTATTAGATTATGGCCTCTCAGGCAATGGGCATGTCAATTGTGTGTGTTTCTTTCTTCTTCTTGGGAAAAAAAAAAAAAGATGATAGGGATAAACTGTAACTATTAAGCAAGTCACCCTCTGATTACACAAAAGAATTGTGAGGTGTTTGTCAGGGTTGTTGGAAATCTCACATTAGAGCAGCCACAAAGGGCAGGGAGTGCTATCCACCCACCCACAGAGTCGGACTCGGGTCACAGAGGGACATTTCCCGCTGCCCTTGCTCACTGCCAATGACCTTGCCCTGAGGGAAACCAGGGAGGTTCCTGGGACCCACCAAGTACCCACCCATAGTGTCTCCTGCTCATGTTAAAAGCCTAGCTGGGCCAGCGCTGGAGGCTCACACCTGTAATCCTAGCTACTCAGAAGGCTAAGAACTGAGGATTGTATTTAGAAGCCAGCCGGGGCAGGAAAGTCCACGAGACTTATCTCCAACGAACAACCAAAAAGTTGGAAGTAGCACTGAGGCTCAAATGACAGCATACTAGCCTTCAGCAAAAAAGCAA